AGTTTAAAAATTTTCCATGGTTTACAATTTTTTTAAAAATGCCTGTTTTCTGCGCAAAATAAGCACAGGCTTTGGCACAGAGTGGGATGGGATGTAAATAGGCCTGGTTTGCTTATTCTTCTGTCTGGATAAATACAAGTTGCCTGTCCTTCCAGCCTCGGGTGTCACTCCTCCGTTACGGATCGAGTCCTCCTCGCCCTCCGTCATGGAAGGCCAGGCCTTGGAGCTCAACTGCGTGGTGGCCGGACAGTCGGAAGTCTCCGTCACGTGGTACAAGCGCGGAGTGGCCCTCCCTCCTGGGCACCAGGTACGCAAGCCACTGAGAAAACATCATACTAATAATATATACAATGTAATAAAATAATAATATAATAATACTATATATTGTATTAAAATTGATTTTGTCATTTGGGAGTTGTAGTTGCTGGGATTTATAGTTCACCTACAATCAAAGATCATCCTGAACCCCACCAACAATGGAATTGAACTCAAACTTGGCACACAGTTCTCCCATGACCAACAGAAAATACTGGAAGGGTTTGGTGGGCAGTGTCCTTTGGTTTTGGAGTTGTAGTTCACCTACATCCAGAGATCACTGTGGACACAAACTATGATGGGTCTGGATCAAACTCTACACGAATGCTCAATTTGCCCAAATGTGAACACTGGTGAAGTTTTGGGGAAAATAGAATTTTGACATTTGGGAGTTGTAGTTGCTGGGATTTATAGCTCACCTACAATCACAGAATATTCTGAACCTGACCAACGATAGATGTCGGAACCCAGATGCCTTAAAGAGCCAGACACAAGGAAGTAATCAAAACAACAGTTTATTAAATCAAAGTAAACAGGACTCAGAGACACTTGCTTCAGTGCCTCTGGTCAAAACTCAAAAGTTTGCAGCAATTTGAAGCTTAAAAACAAACTTGGAAAATAAACCGGATTAAACTGGCAAAAAATCCAGATTAAACAAGAGTTAGTTCAAAACACACCAAAACCACACAGTTCAAAGATAATGGTAAAACAAAGAGCCGTGAAGAAAAGCCGTCGTCCAAAAACCGTCCCAAGTCAGAGAAGTATCAGATGAAGATTCCAAAGTCCCAAAAGCAGCGTCGTCGTCAGAAACTGTCCGTGGTCAAGGAGAGGGGAAATCCACACTTACGAGAATCCAGGCCAGATGATACATGAAGGATACAGCAACCTGCAGATCCAGGACCCAAGCCCAACAAGAGAAGCGGCAGCAACAAAACCCAAGGCACGAAACCAACACTTTGCCTACTGCAAAGTTCTATCTCTCCAGTGCCTTCATTTATCCTACAACTCATCATCCGTTGATGAGTTGCCCTCCGCCCCGTCCTCAACGCTGTCAGCTGGTTTAGCTTCAACAGCTGAACGCCAACACCCAGCCCTCCAACTCTTCCACCTCGTGTCAAGACTTAGATCACCCCATGAATCCATGGTACCATCAGCTTGCCAATCCCCACCAGAAAATCCCTCAAAGGTGTCACTGGACGTGGGCTGAGTGCACACATCCCTGATGTCTTGGACTTGTGTCCAGTCCAGTGATTCCTCTTCATCCTCGCTACTCCCAGACCCATTACTTCCAGTAAAGTCAATGAAATCCTCTTCCTCAGTGGAAGCAGTAAGAATGTCCTGGATCCTCTTTCTTTGACGCTCCTCGTCTGACTCTTGCTCCCGAGTAGACCTCTTCAAACCTCTACTCCCCTCTCCTTCCTCCTCCTCCTCACTCATTTCACTGCCAGAGAAGCCTTCGAAGGATTCCTCATCTGTGGGTGACATAAGTATCTCCCGGATGCTCTTCCTTTGCTGCTCTTCCTCTAACACCTGGGCACCTTGTTTCCCTCCTCTACTATTCCTACTATCAGTTGTAACATTGCCAGAAGACTCTACTACAACAATAGAATGGGGCCAAACCTCCCACACAGAACCCCCATGTGGGCCACAGCAACGTGTGGCAGGGACGGCTAGTGTGTGCATATATATATATATTTCCCCATCGTAGTCCCTGTGAATCGCACATACGGTATTTTCTGCACCTGCGCAGACAGGTCTCTTGCAGGTTGTTTATGTCACATTGTACTAATAATATGTACTACTAATAATATGGTATTATAATTATATATTTATATTACACTAGCCATCCCCTGCCACACGTTGCTGTGGCCCACATGGGGGTTCTGTGTGGGAGGTTTGGCTCAATTCTATTGTTGGTGGGGTTCAGAATGCTCTTTGATTGTAGGTGAACTATAAATCCCAGTAACTACAACTCCCAAATGTCAAGGTCTATTTCCCCAAACTCCATCTGTGTTTATATTTGGGCATATTGAGTATTCGTGCCAAGTTTGGTCCAGATCCATAATTGTTTGAGTCCAAAGTGTTCTCTGGATGGAGGTGAACTACAACTCGTAAACTCAAGGTCAATGCCCACCAAACCCTTCCAGTATTTTCTATTGGTCATGGGAGTTCTGTGTGCCAAGTTTGGTTCAATTCCATCATTGATGGAGTTCAGAATGCTCTTTGATTGTAGGTGAACTATAAATCCCAGCAACTACAACTCCCAAATGACAAAATCATAATTTTTTGAGTGATGGTCACTCCTTGTGTTGTGAGACGTTTTGTTGCCAGATTTGGTGTAATTTCGTTCATTGGTTCTTTTGTTTTTAAGGTACTCATTATGCCCAGAGCATTTATTTATATATATATATATAGATTTCCCCATCGTGGTCCCTGTGAATTGCACATATGGTATTTCCTGCGCCTGCGCAGATAGGTCTCTTGCAGGCTGATTATATCACATTGTACTAATAATATGTACTAATAATAATATGCTATTATAATTATATATTTATATGACATGTAATATTACTAATAATATTACAATATAATTGGTATAGCACAATATAGCAATACTTAAAACTGATATTGTACTATGCTAATAATATAATATATTGTATGTATATATGCCTTGTAAGTGAGAAGGGCGGCATATTAATGTCGTAAATAAATAAATAAAATTTCTGTAGAGTAGCAATAAATTCCCGATCTGCCACTTCGTTTTCCCAGGAGACTATTTCTAGCCGTAATAATATAATACTACTAATGCTAATTCTATGTACAGTGATCTAAGATTTATCTCACTTCTTGTTGTCTCAGCCCCATTCTTAACTATGTGAGTCGGGTGTTTGTAACTCGGGGACGGCCTGTATGTAAGGATCATAACAGGGCCATGCCAGAGAACTTTAAGGCGAGCATATCGATCCAATCTGTAAGTAGTGACATGCTCAAAGGTTCCTTCATTCATCGGCCACAGGTCTCTGGTTCCCGCCTCCGCATCCCGCAGGCCTCCCTCTCGGACTCGGGCGAGTACATCTGCCGCGTGAGCGTGGACTCCATTGTTCGGGAGGTCTCCGTCCTGGTCTCCACCGCTGGTTCTTCACCCGGTGAGCCTTGCCCCGAAACACAGCCTTCCAGACACTGATTGTTCTGGTACGGCTGTACCAGGGGCTCCAACTTTATTTGCTTTGTATTAAATGTTTGCTTGCAATCCTAGGCTTGGGATTCTGCAGCAGGGTGGCTTCCTGTTAAAGTTTGCAGTTATAGGGCAKKCCACCTGKYCATCATCATTAGGTTCTCTAGTCCCRYCCCYTTTTGGGTTTAGAGAAGGGAAGGGAGCCATTKTTYARTTAGTCTYAGCAAGRATAGCTAMTGTACAGGATGTGTCMAGGTTCTCYTGTGCAAAAGYTTCAACCCTTAAGAYTTCCYRGGGGAGAWCAKTCTTARGARCATCTAAAGATTCCCAAAGGTTCCYARGGAAACAGCCYTACAGYCCYGAGGAATTTYGKAGGGAATAAYARSTTTAAACATCAAGAACTCCAGCKAAKWGACTACAGGCCTAGTACTGGTAGGTCCACTCRGTTTTGAGACGCAGTTCAGCCYGGTAGTGGATCCACATCAGTTAGGTTTAGGTTCACAGTTAGCCTGGGAGGAGCTAGAAAGGGATTTTYCTTTGGAAGTAAAGCAAAGAAACAGTTAGAAGCCASTAGTTGTTTSAAGCCTGGAAGCATTTGTTTAACCTTTGAAGACAAAAGAAGTTTCTGTTTGATTGTTCATCAATACAAGACTTTTGTTCTGGAACAGCTGTTCCAGGAGCCTCAGATTTTTTTGCTGTGTTTAAATGTTTGTGTGCAATCCCAGGCTTGGGATTTTGCATCAGGGTGGTTTCCTGTCATAATTTGCATTTATAGGGTAAGCCACCTGTCAATTATAGTTAGGATCCCTGGTCCCGCCCCCTCCCTTTTTGATTTTTGGAGGGAAGGGGCCATTTTTCAGTTAGTCTCAGCAAAGGAAGCCAATGCAGAGGATATATACAGACGTCCTCCTGTGCAAAGGCTTCGTCTCTTAAGACTTCCTGGGGGAGAACAGTTTTAAGAGCCTCCACAGATTCCCGAAAGGTTCCAGGGAAACAGCTTTACAGCCCTGAGGACTTCCGGAGGGAATAACAGCTCTTCATCAAATCTTCAGCTAAGTGATTTCAGGCCTGTTGGTACGTCTGCTTTGTTCTGAGACGCAGTTCAGCTGGTAGCAGACTGAAATCAGTCAGGTTGAGGTTCACAGCAGCCTGGGAGGAGTTATAAAGGGGAATTTTTCTGTTGAACAAAGTTTTTGAAGATAGTGCCTGTTCCCTGTGGACAAGTTTGAGACATCTGATTTCAATTCCTGTTTGTTCATCAATAAAAGACTTTTATTTAAGCTTAAGCTTCCTAAAGCCTGTTTAATAAGGGAAATTTCTCTAAAGGGTTCCTTCTGGGCCCCCTGGCTTCCCGCTGGACTCAAGCCTTACATCCTCTCTTAAAAGCACTTAATTCCAGCTCCAGTGGCGACAGAACAACTTTGTTGTATTTAAACTCAAGCGCTCTAAAGACTGTTTATGGGGGGAAAATCTCTAAGAGCTTCTCTTTGGGGCCCCCAGCTTCCCGTTGGGCTCAAGTTGCACATCCTGTTTTAAAAGCACTTCTTTTCAAGCCCAGCGGCGACAGAACACTGACCATCCATCTCCCTTGGCTTAGCTGTTTCTCCTTCTCGTTCTGTCTGCCTCCAGCCTTGAGCATCACTCCTTCCCTGCGGATCGAGGCTTCCTCCCCGCACATCGCGGAAGGGAAGACGCTGGAGTTGGACTGCCTCACCGCCCGCAATGCGCAGGCCTCCGTCTCTTGGTCCCGGCGAGGGGCCCCCCTGCCCACCCACCACCAGGTACTGGAATAACGTTCAGGAACTGAGTGAGCCTCAGATTTAAACTCCGACAGGTAAGGTTTCGATGTCATAACCACAGCGATGTCCCACCTCCAGGCCTTTGGCTCCCGTCTACGCTTAGTCCGCGTCACTGCGGCCGATTCAGGGGAATACATTTGCCGTGTCTCCTTCGACGCCATGACCACTCAGGAAGCCTCTGTTTTTGTCACCATCCATCACGGCGGCGCTGACACTTTCCGTAAGTCATCCGCTCACCTCTCATTTGAAGTCTCAAGGTGGTCCGAGCAAAGCCTTGTCTTGAATTCTTGCGTGGGAGGGAGGGGAGGGAGCGGTCATATCATCTCTTTGCAACCTTTCCTTCCTTTTTGTGGGCCTCGCAGCATCCGGAGTGACTCCGCCGGTGCGGATCGAGTCCTCCTCGACTTCTCCAGCCGAGGGCCACACGCTGGACCTGAAGTGCATTGTGGCCGGGCCCCTTTTGCAGTCCAGGCTGACGTGGTTCAAGCGGGGTGGCCCACTTCCTGCCGGTCACCAGGTAAGGACCCTCCTCATCCGTAACAAAGAGAGTGGGAAGAGGCACTCACCCCCCTCCTGGACCCAACCCCACTGATTCCCGTCTCCCACAGGTCTCGGGCCCCCTGCTGCGCATCCCACAGGCCTCAGCGGCCGACTCCGGGGAGTACGTTTGCCACGTCAGCAATGGCACCGCCACCCATGAGGCCTCCCTGATCGTCACCATTCAGAGCGGGACGGACTCCTCCTACTGTAAGTCCCTGCCCCATAGAAAAGGTTTAGTGTGGGGAGGACAGGACAATATTATCATCATCATCATCATCATCATTATATGGAAGGGACTCTCCTGTCCCCCAAACTCCCCCTTTATTATTGTTATTATTGTTACTATATGGAGGAATTCTCCTGTCTCCCCGAACTCCCCTTATATTGTTGTTATTATTGTTGCTATATGGAGGGACTCTCCTGTCCCCCGAACTCCCCTTGAGTTGTTATTTTTGCTGTTGTTGTTGTTGTTATGATACCTAGGGGACTCTCCTGTTCCCCGAACTCCCCTTATATTATTGTTATTATTGTTATTGTATGGAGTGATTCTCCTATTCCTCCAAACTCCCCTTATGTTGTTGTTGTCCTTGTTTCTGCTGCTGTTGTTGTTGTTAGATACCTAGGAGACTCTCCTGTTCCCCGAACTCCCCTTATATTATTGTTGTTGTTGTTGTTGTTGTTGTTGTTGTTGTTGTTATTATATGGAGGGATTCTCCTGTCCCCCAAATTCCCCTTGCTTTGTTATTTTTGCTATTGTTGTTGTTGTTATGATACTTAGGGGACTCTCCTGTTCCCTGAACTCCCCTTATGTTATTGTTATTATTGTTATTATATGGAGGGACTCTCCTGTCCCCCGAACTCCCCTTGCGTTGTTGTTATTTTTGCTGTTGTTGTTGTTATGATACCTAGGGGACTCTCCTGTTCCCCGAATTCCCCTTATATTATTGTTATTATTGTTATTGTATGGAGTGATTCTCCTGTCCCCCAAACTCCCCTTACGTTGTTGTTGTCATTGTTGCTTCTGCTGCTGCTGCTTTTGTTGTTAAGATACCTAGGGGACTCTCCTGTTCCCCAAACTCCCTTTATATTATTGTTATTATTGTTATTATATGGAGGGATTCTCCTGTTCTCCGAACTCCCCTTATATTATTGTTATTATTGTTATTATATGGAGGGATTCTCCTGTTCTCCGAACTCTCCTTATGTTATTGTTATTATTGTTATTATATGGAGGGATTCTCCTGTTCTCCAAACTCTCCTTATGATATTGTTATTATTGTTATTATATGGACTCTCCTGTTCCCCAAACTCCCCTTATATTATTTTTATTATTGTTATTATATGGAGGGATTCTCCTGTTCTCCGAACTCTCCTTATGATATTGTTATTATTGTTATTATATGGACTCTCCTGTTCCCCAAACTCCCCTTATATTATTGTTATTATTGTTATTATATGGAGGGATTCTCCTGTTCCCCGAACTGCCATTATATTATTGTTATTATTGTTATTATATGGAGGGATTCTCCTGTTCTCCAAACTCTCCTTATGATATTGTTATTATTGTTATCATATGGAGGGACTCTCCTGTTCCCCGAACTGCCATTATATTATTGTTATTATTGTTATTATATGGAGGGATTCTCCTGTTCTCCGAACTCTCCTTATGTTATTGTTATTATTACTATTATCGTCAGCATTATTATATGGTGGAGACTCTTCTGTAACCCAAACTCTCATTATTATTACTACTACTACTATTATTATTATTGGTGTTCAGCGTTCCAACCACTTCACCATCTCAGCTGTCTCCCGAACTCCCCCATTGTTGTTGGTAGTGGTGGTGGTGGTGTTCCTCTTCCATCTAGTAAAAGGAAAGAGTGTCCCAGCAGGAACATTTTCAGACCTTTCAAGAAGAGATTTGGGTATCACCTGTAGGAACAGCCTTCCCCATTCCTATTTAACACCTCTGTCTCTCTTTTCCTCTTTGCTTCCATCCCTCCCAGCGGTGGGTGTCACCCCTCCGATCCGCATTGAGACTTCTTCGGCCTCTGTGGTGGAGGGTCAGACTCTGGACCTGAACTGCCTGGTGTCCGGTCAGTCCCAGGCCAGGATCCGGTGGTACAAGCGAGGGGGCGCCCTGCCGGTCAACAGCCAGGTGAGTGGGAGGAACGGGTCACCGAAGAGACCTGACAAGCCTGGTCAGGGACGTGTGGAGAAAGGCCACAAAAACAGATTCCCATCTCTAATTTGAGGTTGTTCCTCTTCCCGCAGGTCCTGGGATCCCGCCTCCGGATACTCCAAGTCACGGCGGCTGACTCGGGCGAATATGTCTGCTACGTCAGCGATGGGACCACACCGCTGGAGGCCTCCGTCGTCGTCAACATCCCCAGCAGGGATGGTACACTTCCAGGTGCCTCTCCCACGGGCATGGCTTAGCCACTTCCCTAATTCGGGGTGCGGTGGTTGCAATAGATTGCTGTGAGTTAGCAAAAGAAAGGACGGTGTCACAGACCTCACCCTCCTCTTCCTCTCGCAGCACATGGGATCATCCCTCCAGTGCGGATCGAGTCCTCGTCGGCGACGCTGGCGGAGGGACAGATGCTGGAGCTGAGCTGCGTCGTGGAAGGCCAGCCGCAAGCCACCATCACCTGGTTCAAGCGAGGGGAGCCCCTCCCGCCCAACCACCAGGTACAGAAACCATTTCCCCATAGAGTTGTGGTTGCTGTGTCGGGGTAAATAGACAAACAAAACACCTCCTGGGTAGGTACGTGAATTATCTCCTTTCACATCCTCGCTGAGCTGCGCATTGGACTGATTGCAGAGTCTTTGTCTGTAGTTTGCAGAGATTTATAGCAAGGTCTCTGATCTTGTTTGCCGCAAACTTCTTTTGGAGGCTTTATTCTTCACTCATTACTATATGTATAACTATTTACATCAGGTTTGCTATCAGTATATACAGAGATATACTCACAACAATACAGATTCTGAGCAAGACATCATGGCAAGAGATCACGCCTAGAGAGATTGAATATGCTTGCCACTCCCTTTTATACCTGTAGAGTTGTGGTTGCTGTGTCAGGGTAAATGGGCAAACAAAACACCTCCTGGGTAGGTACGTGAATTATCTCCTCCTTTCACGTTCTCCCTGAGCTGCGCATTGGACTGATTGCAGAGTCTTTATCTGTAGTTTGCAGAGATTTATAGCACGGTCTCTGATCTTGTTTCCCGCTCACCGCTTGAATAAGGCACAAACTCCTTTTGGAGGCTTTATTCTTCACTCATTACTATATTAACAACTATTTGCATCAGGTTTGCTATCAGTATATACAGAGATATACTCACAACAATACAGACTCTGAGCAAGACATGGCAAGAGATCACGCCTAGAGAGATTGAATAGGCTTGCCACTCCCTTTTATACCCGTAGAGTTGTGGTTGCTGTGTCAGGGTAAATAGACAAACAAAACACCTCCTGGGTAGGTACGTGAATTATCTCCTCCTTTCACGTCCTCCCTGAGCTGCACATTGGACTGATTGTGTGCAGAGTCTTTGTCTGTAGTTAGCAGAGATTTATAGCACAGCCTCTGACCTTGTTTGCCGCTCACCGCTTGAATAAGGCACTTGAGTTCTGGCTTTCATCCAGACTTCTTTTGGAGGATTTATTCTTCACTCATTGCTATATGTACAATATTTACATCAGGTTTGCTCTCAGTATATACTGAGATATACTCACAACAATACAGAGCAAGGCGCCATGACAAGAGAGCGTCATGGCAAGAGATTATGGCGAGAGAGCGTGAACATGCCTGCCACTCCCTTTTATACTTACAGAGAACACAGGAAAGGATACAATTCTCATCATGCCTGTCACATGGTCATGACATGGCTCTCCTTGGTCAGGCATGCACAAACTTTGACCCTCCAGGTGTTTTGGACTTCAACTCCCTACTGGCTGTTAGGAATTGTGAGAGTTGAAGTCCAAAATACCTGGAGAGCCAAAGTTTGCTCATGCCTGCTCTAGGTCCATATCTCCCCTTGCTTAACCCTTCAGCGGAATATGCTGTGACCACATGTCCATTCGAACTGTATTTTTCACACACTGGAGTTATAGACAGTGCATTTCTATCTGCCTAATATGCTGGAGGGTTGGGAGAATGTCACGGGAGCTAATTTCAGATGGTTTCAAAGAGGGCAGGCATAGGGCTCCGTTGGATTGTTCTGCCTTGTGTTTGCACCCGCGCTGATGGTTCTTGTTTTGGTTGCAGGTCTCCGGCCACCGCCTGCGTATCCCGCATGTCTCCTCGGCCAATTCGGGAGAGTATGTCTGCCGGGTCAGCGGTCCCTCTGTCACCCAGGAGGCCACGCTGGTGGTCACCATCCAAGACGGCCAGAGCCCTTTGCCTCGTGAGTCCCAAGGATGCAGCAGGAGGGGAAGGCAAGGGACTACAGGCAGTCCCCAAGTTACGAACAAGAGAGGTTCTGTGGGTTATCATCATTCCCCCATGATGATAACTCTTCCAGGAGTGGATTCCCTTCTGAGGGGGTGATTTCTCTCACTTCTTGTTGTCTAAGCCCTGTTCTTAACTAGGAATCAATTGTAAGGTGGATGTTTGTAACTCGGGAACTGTCCGTACCTTGTTGATCAACCCATAGGTTTGTTGAGAGGCGATCTGTGCTCTTGCTTCCCCTTCCTCTTCCGCAGCGCCTTCTGACATGGATCGAACCCCTGTTCCACGGATCGAGCCTTCGTCACCCTCCGTTGAGGAAGGGCAGTCCCTGGACCTCACCTGCTTGGCCCCGGGGCAGCCGCATGCCACGTTCACCTGGTACCGCCGGGAAGGTGCCTTACCTGCTGGTCATCAGGTGAGAAAGGGCCCTGACGGTCCATTGTGGGTCATGACTCGCCGCCTCTAACATCTTCGGGTAAGGGAGGGAAAGAGGAAAGAGCAACTTGGAGGCACTGGAGAGTCCAAGGAATCAAGCGAGGGAGGCAACCAATCTTGAGCACCATCGGATATCATCATCATCATCATTTAATAACTTATTAATCGCCCTCCATCAGAGAATGCTTCAGGCGATTTAGAGCTAAATTACAAAAGATAAAATACATACATACAAAAATTAAAAATTAACAGAGATCGAATGCTCTAGTAAAAAGCCAGGTCTTAAGTGCGAGAGTAAAAGGCCCTAAGTCACGCATGGCTCTCATGTAGGGCGGCAAGGAATTCCACAAGGCAGGGGCAGAAATAGAAAAAGCCCTGCGTCTGGTCCTTTCCAAGTGCACTTCTCTAGGACCCGGTATATGGAGTAAGTCACGTTGGGCTGGTCGTTGCGACCTCCGATGATGGGAGAAGGAGAGGCGGTCCCTAAGGTACGATGGACCCTGGCCGTAAAGAGTTTTAAAGGTCAGAACTAGCATCTTATACAGGCCACGGTACTCAGTTGGAAGCCAATGTAAATGTTGCAGCACTGGTGTTATATGGCATTTCATGGGCGTTCTTGTGAGTAACCTGGCTGCCGCATTCTGAACAATACGGAGCTTTTGGGTCGTAGACATACAGGGCGTTGCAATAGTCCAGCCTAGACGTGACCGTGGCATGGATGACAGTTGCCAGAGCCTCGTCAGATAGGTGCCAGTTACCTCGCTTGTCGTAGATGGAAAAAGGCCTGTTTGCTGGCAGCAGTGACCTGAGCTTCCATTGTCAGCTGCGAATCCAGGACGACACCTAAGCTCTTAACAGTGGTTGATGGAGATAGGGTGGCACCATCGAAGGTGGGCAACGGAGGAGTCAGACCTGCCAGAGAATCTCAGTCTTCACCAGGTTCACCATCAGTCTGCTAGCACGTAGCCAGTTTGACAGAGCTTCCAGACAGAGGGTGAAATTGTCTGGAATTGACGTTGCTCCAGGCTCCAGGCGCAGAAGGAGTTGGGTATCGTCTGCATATTGGTAGCAGTCCAGGCCGAAACTCCGAGCCAAACTAGCAAGGGGTCTAACGTAGATGTTGAAGAGAAGAGGAGAGAGAATTGCACCTTGGGGGACCCCACATAGGAGGGGGGATCTATCGGAGACTTGATCCATGTACTCCACGCGTTGACTCCGGTTCCGGAGAAATGAGTTGAACCAATTGAGGGCCTGACCACGAACTCCAGACATGGCAAGACGGTGAATCATTAGATCGTAGTCGACGGTGTCAAACGCTGCGGTAAGGTCGAGAAGTACCAGTAGCGCGGATCCACCGTTGTCAGACTGGCGACGGAGTTCATCCGTAATGGCAACCAGGACTGTCTCCGTCCCATGATCCGGGCGAAAACCTGACTGGAAAGGGTCCAGGCCAGCTGTGTCATCCAGGAATTGCTGCAATTGTCCCAGTACAGCCCGCTCTATCACCTTGCCTAAGAATGGCAGATTAGAAACAGGACGGTAATTGGCAAGGGTCATAGGATCCAAGCTAGGTTTCTTTAACAAAGGACGAACCCTTGCCTCTTTTAGGTTGTCCGGAAAAAAACCCTGGATATAATGCACATTAGGGCTGGGCGGTTTCGTTCGTTAATTTCGTAATTCATTATTAATTCGTATTTAAATTAGCTTACGATCTGATATTGAGCCATGCAGGAATAGTGTGAGGAGTAATTAAAAATCGAAACAATTTTTCCAATTTATTTCGTATTGTTTCGTAATTGTCAAAATTGTTTTGAAATTGTTTCGTAATTATTTCCATATGTCTGGTGCAAGTTTTATAGTTGTTGTTTGTTTTATCAGTGATAAAAAATATCACACCAACAGTCAACAACAGAGGGAGAGGGAAGCTTCAGAAGTTCCCCCTGTCCCATTTGGAGGGTTTTTTAGCATATTGCGCAATCGCGTCCGCCATTAACGAATCGATTCGAAATTAACGAAATTTCGTAAATAACGAAATTTTGAAATCTCAAAATTTCGGAAGTATTTAGAATTTGGAAACGCTAGCGCCCCCTGGAAACGAATCGAGTTTAGAAACAAATTTTTCCGTGGTTACCCAGCCCTAATGCACATTATTATTTGAACCAAAAAAGATGAGCATTAGATGTGGGTAAATGCATAAATCCTTCTCCCTTGTGCTCGCAGGTGTCCGGCGCGCGCTTGCGTCTCGTCCAGCTGACCCCATCGGACTCTGGCGAATACGTCTGCCGCGTAAACACCGGATCTGGCCCGGCGCAGATGGCATCTTTCGTTGTCTCCGTCTCGGCTACTGGCAGCGCAGTATCACGTAGGTTTTACGGGGCCGTAGGTACGGGTTTCCCCGTAGTGTTGACTGGGGGCTTCTGGGTCTGTGCGGTGAGCAGACCTCTCCACACATTCTGCATTTGTTGCTCTGCGGCTTCAAATGGACTTCCCCTGTATTGAATCTCGTGCACCTTCGAATCTAATCCGTACCTCCATTCGCAAAACCAAAACAAAAAGGTTGTGTTCCCCCCGCACAGGTTTCAAGAGCCCCATCATCTCCATCGACCCGCACAGCACCGCCGTGCGCAAAGGGTCCGACGTCTCCTTCAAGTGCCGCATCCACGACGGTGCCCAGCCCATCGAGATCACCTGGAAGATGCCCAGCGACCAGCTGCATGGTGAGACTGATGAGGAAGCTCCAAATCCCATCCTCCGGGCTCTCTCCCGTTACGAGAAGATGGCCCTTCTGAAGGTTAGGAAGGCGTAACGAGCCACCTGAGAGAACGTCTTGCCTTTCTGTGCAGAGAACGTGAAGATCAGCCCCAACGGCTCCATCATCACCGTCTCCAAGGCCCGGCCGGAGAACCAGGGCGCCTACCGCTGCATCGCCTCCAACCGCTTTGGGATCGCCAACAGCGTGGTCAACCTCATGGTGCAAGGTGAGGCGTCTTTCCATCTGGATTTGCATCTGGGCCAAAAACAACAGCAACAATAATTTATCACTAGATCCCCGTCTGTAGTCTTCTTGTGTATTTGGATCTGGGGCAGCAATAATAATAATAATAATAATAATAATAATAATAATAATAATAATGTCATAAGAATACTAATAATTAAATAATGTGTATTAGATTCTGTGGCAACAGCAACAACATATTATTATTATTTGATCCCCTACTATAGCCTTCCTGTGTATTTGAATATGTGGCAATAATAATAATAATAATAATAATAATAATAATAAATAATGTGTGTTAGGTTCTGTGGCAGCAACAACAACAACATATTATTATTATTATTATTTGATCCCCTTCTATAGCCTTCCTGTGTATTTGAATCTGTGGCAATAATAATAATAATAATAATAATAATAATAATACTGTAGTAATAATAATAATAATGTCATAATAATAATACTAATAATTAATTAATGTGTATTAGGTTTTGTGGCAACTACAACAACAACGTATTATTATTATTATTTGATCCCCTTCTATAGCCTTCCTGTGTATTTGAATATGTGGCAATAATAATAATATAATAATAATAATAAATAATGTGTGTTAGGTTCTGTGGCAGCAACAACAACAACATATTATTATTATTATTATTTGATCCCCTTCTATAGCCTTCCTGTGTATTTGAATCTGTGGCAATAATAATAATAATAATAATAATAATAATACTGTAGTAATAATAATAATAATGTCATAATAATAATACTAATAATTAATTAATGTGTATTAGGTTTTGTGGCAACTACAACAACAACGTATTATTATTATTATTTGATCCCCTTCTATAGCCTTCCTGTGTATTCGAATATGTGGCAATAATAATAATAATGTAATAAATAATGTGTATTTGGATTTGTGGCAACAACAACATTACTAGATTCCCTTCTAAAGCCATCCTGTGTAATTGAATCTGTGGCAATAATAATAATAATAATAATAATAATAATAATAATAATGTCATAATAATACTAATAATTAATTAATGTGTATTAGGTTCCGTGGCAACAACAACATATTATTATTATTTGATCCCCTTCTATAGCCTTCCTGTGTATTTGAATATGTAATAATAATAATAATAATAATGATGTAATAAATAATGTGTATTTATAATAATTATAATAATTATTATAATAATAAATAATAATAATATTTGGATCTGTGGCTACAACAACAATAACAATATATTACTAGATCCCCTTCTAAAGCCATCCTGTGTATTTGAATCTATGGCAATAATAATAATAATAATAATAATGTAATAAATAATGTGCATTTGGATCTGTGGCAACAACAACAATAATAATAATAATAATAATAATAATAATAATGTATTTTTGACCTCCCTCTCCTTGCTGCTCAAGATGGGGTAATAAATCATTTGTATTTGGATCTGTGGCGACGACAATAACAACAATAAATGTGTATTTGGATCTGTAATAATAATAATAATGTATTTATGGCTTGCCTCTGTGTGGCTTAAGGAAAGTTAATTAGTAATGTGCATTTGGATCTGTGGCAGTGATAATAATAATAATAATAATAATAATAACAACAATAATAAATAATGTGTCTTTGGATCTATGACAGTAATAATAATGAAGATGATGTATTTATGGCCTGTGCCTTGGTGCGACTGACGAGGCCCCTCTTCCTTCCTTCCTTCCTTCCTTCCTTCCTTCCTGTCTTTCGCAGGGCCCCCCACGGTCTCGGTGATGCCACGGGGCCCCATTCGGCTGAAGGCCGGCCAGTCGCTGAGCCTGGACTGCTTGGGCTCGGGCGAGCCCCGGTCCCTGGTGCGCTGGAGCCGCGTGGGCGTCCGGCAGAAGGTGGAGCACCAGAGCGTCCTGCCGCTGGAGAGCCGAGCCGTGCTGCGGGTGAGTCCGGTGGAGAGGAAGGGAGAGCGGCTGGAGCGCCGTCCCGCGCTCGAGAGCACTCAACGTCACCCTTCTCCCCTCCCTCGCTCCCCAGCTGTCGTCGGCCAAAGCAGAGGACGCCGGCACCTACGTCTGCCTGGCCCAGAACAGCCTGGGTACGGCGGAGGCCCAGGTGGAGGTGAGCGTGGAGGACGGCACCCACCGGAGGCCAGGTGCCCCTGAAATCCAGGCCAGCCCCACCCAGACCGTGGTGGCCGGACAAACGGCCAGGCTCCGCTGCCCCGCCACAGGTGAGGGGCGCAAGGGAAGGGGCTCCCTCCAAGGTTGCTGTAAGCTTGGCTAAGTTCCGGTTTCAAGCACTCCTTCCTTCCTTCGCCCCCCCCCCTCCCTTTCTCCTTCCTTCTCCCTCCCTCCCTCCCTCCCTTCCTTCCTTCCATCCTTCCTTCCTCCCCTCCTCTCCCCTTCTCTTTTCCTTCCCCTTTCCTTCTCTTCCTTCCTTTGTCTCCTTCCTTCCCTTCCTTCTCTTCCTTCCTTCCCTCCCTTTTTCCCTTTCCTCCCTTTCTCCCTTCCTTCTCTCCTTCCTTTGTCTTCTTTCCTTCCCTTTCCTTCTTTCCTTCCTTCTGTCCATCTTTCCTCCTTCCTCTTCTTCCTTCTTTCTTCTTTCCTTCCTTCTTTCTTTCCTTTCTCTTCCTTCTTCTTCCTTTTCCTTCCTTTCCTTCTTTCCTTCCTTCCTTCCTTCTTCCTTCCTTCCTTCCTTCCTTCCCTCTCCTCTCTCTCTTCATTCTTTCCTTTTCCTTCCTTTCCTTCCTCCTTCTTTCTCCTCCTTTTCTTTCCCTCTCCTTTCCTTTCCTTTCCTTCCCTTTTTCCTCCCCTCCTTCCTTCCTCTCCTTCTTTCCTTCCTTCCTTCTTTTTCCTCTTCCTCCTTTCCTCCCCTTCTTCTCTTCCTTCTTTTTTTCCTTCTTTCTTTCCTTTCCTTCCTTTCCTTCTCTTCCTTCCTTCCTTCCTCCTTCCCCTTCCTTCCTTCCCCCCTCCTCTCTTCTTTCCTTCCTTCCTTTTCTTCTCTCTCCATTTCCCTGCCCTCTCTCCTTCCTTTCCCAATCCTTTCCTTACAACCCTCTCTCTCTCCTTCCCTCTCCTTCCTTCATTTCACCCTCTTTCTTTCCTTCTTTCTTTCTTTCTTTCTTTCTTCCTTCTGTCCTTCCTGCATTGTTTCCTTCTGTCCATCTTTTCTCCCTATCTTCCTCCCTCCCCATTCCTTCCTCTCTTCTTTTCTTCCATCTGCCCTTCCATCCTTCCATCCTCCCTCCCTCTTTCTTCCTTCCTTCCATCCTTCTTCCCTTCACTGCTTCCTTCTGTTCAACTTTCCCCCTCTCCCCATCCTTCCTTCCTTATACCCTTCCCACCATTATCCTTCCTTCTTTCTTCCTCTTCCTCCTTTTCTCTCTTTTCCCTTCCTTCTTCCTTCTCCTTCCCCTCTCTCCTCTTCCTTCTTTTTCTTCCTTCCTCCCTCCCTCCCTTTCCTTCCTTTTCCTTCCTTCCTTTCCTTCCTCCCCTTCCTTCCTTCCCTTTCTTTCCTCCATCTTTTCCATCTTTCCTCTCTCTCCCTTTTTTCTTCCTGTCTCTCTCTCTCCTTCTCTTTCTCCCTTCCTTCCTGCCTCACTCCTTCCTTCTCCCTCCATCCCTCTTTCCTTCCTTCCTTCCTTCCTTCCTTCTTTCTTTCTTCTTTTTGTCCTTTTCCTCCCTCTTCCATTTTTTCTTTCTCTCTCCCCCCTCTCTTTCTCTTCCTTCCCCTTTCCTTCCTTCTTTCCCTCCATCATTTTGTCCATCTTCCTCCCTCTTCCTTTTTTTTCCTTCGTTCCTTCTCTCCTTCTCTTTCTCCCTTCCTTCCTGCCTCACTCCTTCCTTCTACCCTCCATCCCTCTCTCTCTCCCCCCTCCCTTCCTCCCTTCCTTCCTTCTTTCTTTCCCTCCATCGTTGTGTCCATCTTTCCTCTCTCTCCCTTTTTTCTTCCTGTCTCTCTCTCTCCTTCTCTTTCTCCCTTCCTTCCTGCCTCACTCCTTCCTTCTACCCTCCATCCCTCTTTCCCTTCCTTCCTTCCTTCCTTCCTTCCTTCCTTCTTTCTTTCCTTCTGTTTTGTCCATCTTTCCTCCCTCTTCCATTTTTCTTTCTCTCTCCCCCCTCTCTTTCTCTCTTCCTTCCTCCTTTCCTTCCTTCTTTCCCTCCATCATTTTGTCCATCTTTCCTCCCTCTTCCTTTTTTCTTCCTTTGTCTCTCTCTCCTTCTCTTTCTCCCTTCCTTCCTGCCTCACTCCTTCCTTCTATCCTCCATCCCTCTTTCTCTTTCTCTCTCTCCCTCTCTTTCTCCCTTCCTTCCTTCCTTCCTTCCTTCTTTTCTCCTCTTTTCCTTCCTCCCTCTCCTTTCTTCTCTCTCTCTTCTCCCTCCTTCCTTCCTTCCTTCCTTCCTTTCTCTCTTTCTCTTTCTCTTTCTCTTTCTCTTTCTCTTTCTCTTTCTCTTTCTCTTTCTCTTTCTCTTTCTCTTTCTCTTTCTCTTTCTCTTTCTCTTTCTCTTTCTCTTTCTCTTTCTCTTTCTCTTTCTCTTTCTCTCTCTCCCTTCCTTCCTTCCTTCCTTCCTTCCTTCCTTCCACCTCTCTCCCCTGCAGGCCACCCCACTCCAACCATCCATTGGTCCAAGCTGAGGGCCCCTTTGCCCTGGCAGCACCGGATTGTGAACGAGACCCTGGTCATCCCCCGGGCGGCCCAGCAGGACTCCGGACAATACATCTGCAACGCCACCAACACCGCCGGATCCACCGAGGCCTTCATCGTGCTTGACGTGGAGAGTAAGCACTCTGGGGAGGATGTGAGGGTCATGCCTCAATACAATTCCCAATGTCCATGCCTAGCAAACCCTAGCTTTGCATGGACACACATCCTTGGAGAAGGAACTTAGAGAAGTTATTATTGCCCAGCAGTCGTGTTATTTGGGGACTCTGGGATTTGTTGATCAATATGCAATATTCTCCCATTCACACACAAAATTCTTAACACAGTTTGTAAGTCGGGTGTTCATAACTCGGGGATGGCATACATATAGATAGATAGATAGATAGATAGATAGATAGTAATATGTAATATAATGCCATAATAATTATGATAATAGTATAAGATTCCTCTCTCTTCCTGTTGTCTCAGCCCCGTTCTTAACTGTGAGTCATTTGTAAGTTGGGTGTTTGTAACTTGGGGATAGCCTATAGCCATGACCTTCTTTCCTGGTTTTGTGTGGAACCAGGAAAGTAGACCATGCCTTAGCCTGCCCTGGCCTGTGCGTACTTGAAGCAAGGGAAAGAAACTGTCAGTTGGAATTTTGTTTTGTACCACACTGTATGCTTTTGGAAATGAAGCCTTCCTACTCTGTTCATGAGGTAATTTCTTCGCCAGAAAGCTGCAGATCAGGACATATACTAATAACAGATAATATAAGACAGCGTAATAATGATAATATATAAGATTCCTCTCACTTCCTGTTGTCTCAGCCCCGTTCTTAACTGTGAGTCATTTGTAAGTTGGGTGTTTGTAACTTGGGGATAGCCTATAGCCATGACCTTCTTTCCTGGTTTTGTGTGGAACCAGGAAAGTAGACCATGCCTTAGCCTGCCCTAGCCTGTGCGTACTTGAAGAAAGGGAAATAAACTGTCAGTTGGAATTTTGTTTTGTACCACACTTTATGTTTTTAGAAATAAAGCCTTCCCACTCCGTTCATGAGGTAATTTCTTCACCAGAAAGCTGCAGATCAGGACATATACTAATAACATATAATATAATACAGTCGTAATAATGATAATAATATAAGATCCCTCTCACTTCCTGTTGTCTCAGCCCCGTTCTTAACTGTGAGTCATTTGTAAGTTGGGTGTGTTTGTAACTTGGGGATAGCCTATAGCCATGACCTTCTTTCCTGGTTTTGTGTGGAACCAGGAAAGTAGACCATGCCTTAGCCTGCCCTGGCCTGTGCGTACTTGAAGCAAGGGAAAGAAACTGTCAGTTGGAATTTTGTTTTGTACCACACTGTATGCTTTTAGAAATAAAGCCTTCCCAATCTGTTCATGAGGTAATTTCTTTGCCAGAAAGCTGCAGATCAGGACATATACTAATAACATATAATATAATGCCATAATAATTATGATAGTAGTATAAGATTCCTCTCACTTCCTGTTGTCTCAGCCCCGTTCTTAACTGTGAGTCATTTGTAAGTTGGGTGTTTATAACTTGGGGATAGCCTATAGCCATGACCTTCTTTCCTGGTTTTGTGTGGAAATAGGAAAGTAGACCATGCCTTAGCCTGCCCTGGCCTGTGCGTACTTTAAGCAAGGGAAAGAAACTGTCAGTTGGAATTTTGTTTTGTACCACACTGTATGCTTTTAGAAATAAAGCCTTCCCAATCTGTTCATGAGGTAATTTCTTTGCCAGAAAGCTGCAGATCAGGACATATACTAATAACATATAATATAATACAGTCGTAATAATGATAATAATATAAGATCCCTCTCACTTCCTGTTGTCTCAGCCCCATTCTTAACTGTGAGTCATTTGTAAGTTGGTTGTGTTTGTAACTTGGGGATAGCCTATAGCCATGGCCTTCTTTCCTGGTTTTGTGTGGAACCAGGAAAGTAGACCATGCCTTAGCCTGCCCTGGCCTGTGCGTACTTGAAGCAAGAGAAAGAAACTGTCAGTTGGAATTTTGTTTTGTACCACTTCTTGTTGTCTCAGCCCCGTTCTTAACTGGGAGTTCTTTGTAAGTAGGGTGTTTGTAACTCGGAAACAGCCTTCTCCTCCTCCTTCTCTCTCCCAGCTCCGCCATACGCCACCATCCTCCCGGACGCAGCCTCGGTGCGGGCCGGCGACATGGTGCAGCTTCAATGCCTGGCCCACGGCACACCACCCCTGCACTATCGGTGGAGCAAAGCCAACGACGGCCAGCTCCCGGGACACGCTGTGGCACGTGAGGGGGTCCTGCACTTGGGGCCCGTCATCCCCCGCGACTCAGGGGCCTACCGCTGCAGCGTCCGCAACCGGGTGGGCGAGGCCGAGGTCCTGGCCCAGGTCCGGGTGCAAGGTGAGCAGAGCCAAAAGCAACCAAGGATCCCGAAGGGAGCGTTTCCGGCACCATAGCCTTCTATAGCATTCCTGGCATTGCAACCACAACAGGCCCTGTTCTCGTCATTCTGGTTGAGCTTTCGTTCAAGACTTTTAAGGCTGAGTGGCCCTCTATCAGGAGGGCTTTGATTGTGCTGTTCCTGCATGAAAGAAGCGGGTCGGACCGGATGGTCCTTGGGATCCCGTCCAACTCTGGGATTCTATCTACTTATCTGTTTATCTGTTCACCTATCTATCTATTCATCTGTCTGTCTAAGGGTTGGACTAGATGGCCTTTTGGTGGATCCTTTCCAACTCTGGGATTGTATGATCTATCTATCTATCTATCTATCTATCATGTATCTATCTATTCATCTATCTGTCTATCTATCTATCTATCTATCTATCTATCAATCATTCTATTTACCTAAAGGTTGGACTGGATGACCTTTGGGGGATCTCTTCCAACTCTGGGATTCTATGATTGATCTATCTATCTTATCTATCTATCTTATCTATCTATCTAAGGATTGGAATTGGATTGTCCTTTGGGGTTCCTTCCAACTCTAGGATTCTGTGATTTGTATATCTTATCTTTCTATCTATCTATTTTAGGATTGGACTGGATGGTCCTCAAGGTCCCTTTCAACTCTTCTATCTATCTATCTATCTATCTATCTATCTATCTATCTATCTATTGGTTGGACTAGATAGTTCTTTGAGACCATTCCAAATCTAGGATTCTATGATTCATCTCTTTATCTCTCTGTCTGTCTGTCTATCAATCTATGGGTTGGACTGGATGGTCCTTGGGATCCCTTCCAACTCTAGGATTCTGTGTTTCATTTCTCCATCTCTATCTCTATCTATCTATCTTAGGGTTGGACTGGATTGCCCTTGGGGTTCCTTCCTACTCTAGGATTCATCTATCTTATCTATCTAAGGATTGGAGCAGATGGTCCTKGGGGTCCCTKCCAATTCTAGGATTCTGTGATTCATCTTTGTATCTATCTATCTATCTATCATCCATCCATCCATCCAACCAACCAACCAACCAAGGGTTGGACTGCATGGTCCTTGGGGTCCTGTGATTCATCTATCTATCTATCTATCTATCTATCTATCTATCTATCYATCTATCCATCCAAACAACCAACCAACCAACCAACCAACCAACCAACCAAGGGTTGGACTGCATGGTCCTTGGGATCCTGTGATTCATCTTTGTATCTATCTATCCATCCAWCCAACCAACCAACCAACCAACCAAGGGTTGGACTGCATGGTCCTTGGGGTCCTGTGATTCATCTTTGTATCTATCTATCTATCTATCTATCTATCTATCTATCCATCCACCCAACCAACCAACCAACCAACCAACCAACCAAGGGTTGGACTGCATGGTCCTTGGGGTTCCTTCCAACTCTAGGATTCTGTCATTTATATATCTTATCTTTCTATCTATCTATTTTAGGATTGGACTGGATGGTCCTCAAGGTCCCTTTCAACCTCACAACTCTATTATTCATCTATATATCTATCTGTGTATCTTCAGGGTTGGATCTCTCTCTCTCTCTCTCTCTCTCTATCTATCTATCTATCTAAGGATTGGACTGGATGGTCCATAGGGTCCCTTCTAACTCTAGGATTTTGTGATCGAAGGGTAACTCAATTCCACTGCAATTAAATACTAGTTCAAATACAATATGCAGATTGGGGGGCTGACCTGAGTCTCTTGCCAGGGCCATGGATACATCAAACTAAAGAAGCTTCTCCTTCCTAACCGTAGGTTCCCCCGAAGGGCCCTTGTCGGTGGAGGTGTCCCCGCAGAGTGACACCAAGGCCGTTGGGGCCACGGTGGAGTTCTCCTGCTCCGTGTCCGGAGACCCCCGGGCCCAGATCGAGTGGCTCAAGGAAGACGGGGAGATGCCCCCCCAACACAGCATCAACAATGGCGTGCTCCGGTATGACGGGGGAAAGAGGGAAAGAGCAGGGCATTGTGGGAAAATATGGCCACTTCACTCATCGACCCCCTTGGCGTTTTATCCCTTGCAGAATTGAGAAGCTGGACCGAAGCTGCCAAGGTGTCTATGTCTGCCGGGCGAGCGGCCCCTCCGGACAGGCCCAGGAGAGGGTCCGGTTGGTGGTCCAAGGTTGGTTTAATAGGATTGTTTTAATAAGGTTTCTTTTGCATCAATATATATATATATATGTATGTATGTATGTATGTATGTATGTATGTATGTATGTATAATCTCCCTTCCTGCTCTCAGCCCTTCCCAAAGTGATGATCAACATCCGGACCTCAGTGCAGACGGTCCTTGCCGGGAGCGCGGTGGAGTTTGAGTGCCTGGCCTTCGGTGATCCCAAACCGGAGATCGCCTGGAGCAAAGTCGGAGGCCGGATGCGGCCGGGGGTTGCGGTCAGCGGTGGGACGGTCACCATCCACCAGGTGGAGCAGAGCGACGCCGGGCAGTACCGCTGCACCGCCACCAACAACGTGGGCACCGTCCAGTCCCACGTCATCCTCCATGTCCAGTGTAAGGAGAAGAATCCTCGTCATTGTAATATTGACCATCACCATCATAACAAGTGGGAGGTTCCTTGGGTGGGTTGTCCTCCAGATCAGTGGTTCTCAACCTGTGGGTCCCCAGTTTACTTACTTACTTACTTTACTTACTTACTTAGGCGATCCCTCGCTTTCCGAGGATGATTGTCTTCCAGTGTTCTTGTGGGTCCGTATGTGGCTGTGGAGCCCTATTCTTGCTCTGCATCTTCTTCCGCAGTGAGGGCGTTGGTTTCCAGGTGGAAGGCGGTCTCGGTCGGAGTTGGCTTGACACGCCTTCCTCTTGGCACGCTTCTCCCTTTCGCCCTCCACTCGTGCCTCCTCAAATTCTGCAGCACTGCTGGTCACCTTTTTTGGCCGCAGGGTGGTGACCCCACTGGACGCGGCAGTCCAGTCAGGGATAAGAGAGGCAGACTATGTTTAGGGCACCTTTTCTAGCCCCCTCCCCATGTGGGGTGAGCAGAGTGGGTCCTCAAAAGGGCTGCTCAGTCACGGATACAGCTGCCGAACTACTCAACTGCCTCGGACCTTGAGGTAGAACGACTGAGTCCGTACCCACCGCCCATGTGCCAGTCTGTGACTAGGGGCTTCCAGATTTCCCAGTCCTGCCCCCGTCGCCACTCGCTGATCGCCATGGGACTTTGGTTGCTTGGTTTTTATTTTCTTTGGAAGACGCATGTGCGTGGGTTTTTTTAAGAGGAGTCAGTTGTACTAGTAGAGGTCGTCGAAGAGAGAAGCATAAAATTGTTTTGTCTTGAGTAGTAAAGAAGAAGTTGTCAACTAAGACAAGCCAGTCTTTGGGCAGAGTGGGTCCTAAAAAGGGCTTCTCAGTCGCGGATACAGCTGCCGAACTACTCAACTGCCTCGGACCTTGAGGTAGAACGACTGAGTCTGTACCCACCGCCCATGTGCCAGTCTGTGACTAGGGGCTTCCAGATTTCACAGTCCTGCCCCCGTCGCCACTCGCTGATCGCCATGGGACTTTGGTTGTTTGGCTTTTGTTTTCTTTGGAAGAGTTTTTTTAATGTGTGGAGGTCAGTGCACAACTGATCAACACACATTCTTCACAGAGTGAGGTTCCACCGGTGGTGTAGTTTAACACAATGAACCTCCCCCGCAACCACTCCTGGGAGTGCACGACTCCAGTTGTTGTGCCTACAGGTTCATCAGAACACGTAAGCCCCCTCACCACGACAAAGTGACAGTCCCCAGATGTTTTGGCCTTCAACTCCCAGAAATCCTAAACTGGATGGGATTTTTGGGAGGTGTAGGACAAAACAACTGGGGACCCACAGGGTGAGTACCACTGATCTAGATGATAATGATGTTGATGAAGATGATAATGCTAATAATGCTAATAGTATGTCATCTGGCATAATAATAATAATAAGAAGAAGAAGAAGTCGTCCCCTGGCATTCCCTTGGTGGGTTGTCCCCTGGATGATGATGGCAATAATAACAATAACAATAATAACAGATGTCCCCTGCCATTCTCTTGGTGGGTTGTGTTGCAACCCAGATCAGGAAACAAGACCATAAGATTAAATCCACCACACTGGACTGATATGCCCAAATTTGAATACTGGTGGGGTTGGGGGGCGGGGTTGATTTTGCCATTTGGGAGTTGTAGTTGCTGGGATTTATAGTTCACCTGCAATCAAAGAGCATTTTGAACTCCACCAATGATGGAATTGGGCCAAACTTGGCACACAGAACTCCCATGACCAACAGAAAATACTGGAAGGGTTTGGTGGGCATTGACCTTGAGTTTTGGAGTTGTAGTTCCTCTGCATCCAGAGAGTACTGTGGACTCAAACAATGATGGATCTGGACCAAACTTGACACAGAACCCCCATAAAATCCCAAATGTCAAGGTCTATTTTCTGTGAACAATGGTTGACATTTGGGAGTTGTAGTTGCTGGGATTTATAGTTCACCTACAATCAAAGAGCATTCTGAACCCCACCACTGATAGAATTGGGCCAAACTTCCCACACAGAACCCCCATGACCAACAGAAAATACTGTTTTCTGATGGTCTTTGTCGACCCCCCTGACCCCTTCGTGACCCCTCCAGGGTTCCCTAGCCAAGGTAATGCCTCAGTCTAAACGATACGTGATCTAACAAGACAGCCCGGGGGAGACACTTTAAACTAAAGAAACTGTTTCGGGACACGCCTCCAGGCTTGGAAGCCTCCTTCTGCGTTAATCTACTTGACCTTCGCAGACTCTGTGATTCACTCCTGTTTTCCCAAATCTGCCTTCTTCTATCCTCATTAAAAAAGGCAGGTGTTAACTCCTCTGGAGAGTTATCATCGCTTGACTCTGAAACATCCTCATCAGGATGTTTAGTTTCACTTTCCCAGCCACTGCCCTCAGAATCAACAGTTTCCAAACCATCAGGGAAAAATACATGTTCAGTAGCCTGTTCAGTTGCATCAGGAAATACAATCATAGAATCAGGTTCAGGTTCACACGGAGGCTGAGGGTCAGGCTCACACGGAGGCTGAGGGTCAGGTTCACACGGAGGCTGAACCCCAACAGGTTGTCCCCTGGATGATTATGACAGCAACGACAACAAAACGATGATTAATAATAATAATAAGAAGAAGAAGAAGAAGAATGTCCCCTGGCATTCCCTTGTTGGGTTGTTTTCTGGATGATGATGACAACAATAATAGTAATAATAGTAATAATAATAATAATAATAATAATAATAATAGATGTTCCCTGCCTTTCCCTTGATGGGTTGTTCCTTGGATGATGACGACAATGACGCCGCCAACAACAACAACAACAATAATAATAATAATAATAATAAAATGGATGTGCCCTGCCATTCCTTTGGTGGGTTGTCCCCTGGGTGATGATGATGACAACAATGATGATTATAATTAATTAATTAATTAATAATAGGATGCCCCCTGATGTTCACTCGGTGGGTTGTTCTCTAGAAGATGGTGACAATAGCAACAGCAACAACAACAATAATAATCTATTTTCCCTGCCATTCCCTTGATGGGTTGTTCTCTGGATGATGATGACAATAGTAGTAGTAGTGGTAATAATAATAATAATAATAATAATAATAATAATAATAATAATGAATGTCTCCTGGCATTCCCTTGGTGGGTTGTCCTCAGGAGGAGGAGGATGGTGGTGACGACAACGATAATTAAAAAATGATGGTGCCGAAACATTCCCTTGCTAGTTTGTCCTCTTGGTGATGATAATGACAATAACAGTAGCAATAATAATAATAATAGATGCCTCAGGGAGAGGCGGGTAAGAAATATAATTATAATTATGTCTCTTGGCATTTCCTTGTTGGGTTGTCCTCTGGATGATAAGATAAGGATGATGAGGATGAGGAACCTTCTGGCATTCCCTTGGTGGGTGGGTCTCTTGCCCCCGTCTGCAAGACTCTTCCATTGACCTTCTCCTTTTTCCCTGGCAGCTGTCCCGCACATTGCTGCGCAGCCCGAAGTCAAAGAGGTCTCCGCAGGGTCGGCGGTGTCCTTCCCGTGCTTGGCGTCCGGCTTCCCCATGCCGGACATTGCCTGGACAAAGGTAGCGTGCGGAGTGGGAGAGAGAGGGGGAAGCGGGATTCGAGGGCCCACAAGAAGTGTGTCTCGTGTCAAACTGTAGGATCTATATAGCAATATTAAATAACCACTCACAAGCCGCTTGTGCTTTGAAATGGATATATTGCTTGTATCTCTGCAGCAGAGAAAGGCACTACTGACTTTTTCCCACCACCATTTCCTTTTATACACCTTTCCTGCCCATCTCCCCCTCTTCTCAGTTTCCTTATTAGAACTTGTTGCTTCACAAGTTCCAATACAAGGTTTCCAGTGCCCTTTGCTGGCTTCAAATTGTCACAGAGAGAGAATTGAGTCAGCCAGGATGATTCAGTCAGAATGTCACGGAGAGAATTTGTGATGTCTTCATGCCATCAGAAATTGACTCCTGACACGTTGGCTCCATCCGTTAAGGAATCGTCTCTGTGTTTCAGCTGGAAGGGGAGCTCCCTGGGAACGCCCGCATCGAGGGCCACATCCTGAACCTCCCTGCGGTCCGGCCGGAAGACACCGGTGTCTACGTCTGCACCGCCTCCAACCGCCAAGGGAAGGTGACCGCCTTCTCCATGCTCAAAGTGCGAGGTGAGTTCTGCGCATCTTCAAAACGGTGGAGCTGGGAGCGGACTCGTCGGAGGCCCATTTTCACTCCACCCTTCCTTCGGTTGCAGAGCGAGTGGTGCCCTACTTCACCCAGGACCCGCAATCCTTCCTCATCCTGCCCACCATGAAGGACGCCTACAAGACCTTCGCCGTCGAGATCACCTTCCGGCCGGACACGCCTGACGGTAGGAGGAAACACAGGGACACAGTGGTGCTTGTCAATAGTTTGACATCCTCCATGGGCATGGTAGCATTCCCCAGGAAACAGAGCTCAATGATTCCCAAGTTCCAGAGCTGGGGAATGTGACTCTTGGGGGGGAGATCCGAGCAAAAGAAGTCCTGGAAGTTTTTTGGGGAAAATCCGAGCATGAGAAGTCCCAAAAGTTACGTCCTCCCACTCTGGAATACCTCACCGGAAAAGTCCATAGTTTGACATCCTCCGTGGATATGGTAGCATTCCCCAGGAATCAGAGCTCAATGATTCCCAAGTTCCAGAGCTGGGGAATGTGACACTTGGGGGGGAAATCCGAGCACGAGAAGTCCTGAAAGTTTTTTTTGGGGGGGGGGGATCCAAACACAAGAAGTCCCGAAAATCACGTCCTCCCACTCTGGAACACCTCACCGGCAAAGTCAATAGTTTTACATCCTCTGTGGATATGGTAGCACAGAGCTCAATGATTCCCAAGTTCCAGAGCTGGAGAATGTTACTCTTGGGGGGGGGGGGGGGGGGGAATCCAAGCACGAGAAGTCCTGAAATTTTTTGGGTGGAAATCTGAGCACGAGAAGTCCGGAAAGTTCCGTCCTCCCACTCTGGAATGCCTCACCGGCAAAGTCAATAGTTTGACATCCTCTTTGGCTATTGTAGCACTCCCCAGGAATCAGAGCTCAATGATTCCCAAGTTCCAGAGCTGGGGAATGTTACTCTGGGGGGGGGGGGGATCCGAGCACGAGATGTCCCGAAAGTAACATCCTCCCACTCTGGAATGCCTCAACGGCAAAGTCAATAGTTTGACATCCTCCGTGGATATGGTAGCACTCCCCAGGAATCAGAGCTCAATGATTCCCAAGTTCCAGAGCTGGGGAATGTGACACTTGGGGGGGAGGGGGAAATCCGAGCACGAGAAGTCCCGAAAGTTTTGGGGGGGAAATCCGAGCATGAGAAGTCCCGAAAGCTACGTCCTCCCACTCTGGAATGCCTCACCGGCAAAGTCAATAGTTTGACATCCTCTTTGGATATTGTAGCACTCCCCAGGAATCAGAGCTTAATGATTCCCAAGTTCCAGAACTGGAGAATGTGACTCTTGGGGGGGAAATCCGAGCATGAGAAGTCCCGAAAGTTTTTTTTGGGGGGGGGGGAATCCGAGCATGAGAAGTCCCGAAAGCTACATCCTTCCACTCTGGAATGCCTCACTGGCAAAGTCAATAGTTTGACATCCTCCGTGGATATGGTAGCACTCCCCAGGAATCAGAGCTCAACGATTCCCAAGTTCCAGAGCTGGAGAATGTGATTCTTGGGGGGGAAATCCGACCTCAAGAAGTCCTGAAAGTTTTTTGGGGAAAATCCGAACACGAGAAGTCCCGAAAGTCACATCCTCCCACTCTGGAATGCCTCACCGGCAAAGTCAATAGTTTGACATCCTCCGTGGATATTGTAGCACTCCCGAGGAACCACAGCTTAATGATTCCCAAGTTCCAGAGCTGGAAATGTGACACTTGGGGGGGGGGGGGAATCCAAGCCCGAGAAGTCCTGAAAGATTTTTGGGTAAAATCTGAACACGAGAAATCCCGAAAGTCACGTCCTCCCACTCTGGAATGCCTCACCGGCAAAGTCAATAGTTTGGCATCCTCCATGGATATGGTAGCACTCCCCAGGAATCAGAGCTCAATGATTCCCAAGTTCCAGAGCTGGGGAATGTGAGTCTTGGGGGGGGGGGGGGTATCCGAGCATGAGAAGTCCCGAAAGTTTTTTGGGGGGAAATCCAAGCCTGAGAAGTCCCGAAAGTCACGTCCTCCCCCTCTGGAATGCCTCACCGGAAAAGTCAAGAGTTTGACATCCTCTGTGGATATTGTAGCACTCCCCAGGAATCAGAGCTTAATGATTCCCAAGTTCCAGAGCTGGAGAATGTTACTCTTGGGGGGGGGGGGAAATCCGAGCGTGAGAAGTCCCGAAAGCTACGTCCTTCCACTCTGGAATGCCTCACCGACAAAGTCAATAGTTTGACATCCTCCGTGGATATTGTAGCACTCCCCAGGAATCAGAGCTTAATGATTCCCAAGTTCCAGAGCTGGAGAATGTGACTCTTGGGGGGGAAATCCGAGCTCAAGTTTTTTGGGGAAAATCCAAACACGAGAAGTCCCGAAAGTCACGTCCTCCCACTCTGGAACGCCTCACCGGCAAAGTCAATAGTTTGACAACCTCCATGGATATGGTAGCGCTCCCCAGGAGTCAGAGCTCAATGATTCCCAAGTTCCAGAGCTGGGGAATGTGACTCTTGGGGGGGAAATCTGAGCACGAGAAGTCCTGAAAGTTTTTTGGGGAAAATCTGAACACGAGAAGTCCCGAAAGTCACGTCCTCCCACTCTGGAACGCCTCACCGGCAAAGTCAATAGTTTGACATCCTCCGTGGATATGGTAGCATTCCCCAGGAATTGGAGTTCAGTGATTCCCAAGTTCCAGAGCTGGAGAATGTGACTCTTGGGGGGGAGATCCGAGCACGAGAAGTCCTAAAAGTTTTTTGGGGAAAATCTGAACACGAGAAGTCCCGAAAGTCACGTCCTCCCACTCTGGAACGCCTCACCGGCAAAGTAGCAAATCTTCCGTTATTCTTTGACTCTCCCTCTTACTTTTACTTCCATCTTTTTTCCCTCCTTCTGATCTTCTTCCCACCTTCCCCTTCTTTCCTTCCTTCTTTCCTTCCTCTCTCTACCCTTCATCTTTTCCTCTCCAGCCGTTATCCTTTTCTCAGGTAAGTCCTTTTTCTCTGCTGTGGCTTCTTTTTCTGTCTTCCCCGCCTAACTCCTCCTTGGGCTGAAATGTTGTTTTGGGTTTCTTTGCCATGCCTAACCTCCATCGGGTCCTGTCCGAAGGGCGGCACTTCCTCCTTCCCAGGAAGTAACATCTCAGTCTGGTCTTCCAGGTGGAAGGAAACCTAAGTGGATCTGCTCTGCTTCTCTTCCTCCTGGGTATCCGATCCTCTTTAGCCATTCAGCCCTCCTTATGGATCTTGACCACAGTGTTGACTTTTGGCTCTGTCTGGCTGCATGGAGCTGGGAGTTTGGTTGGATCTGCTTCAGAGCAGCTCAGCTACTCCCATTGTCCCACTGCTATGCTTTTTGGTAGGGATGCTGGTCTACAACGGGCAGAAGAAGACAACCGACACCGACTTCGTGTCCTTCGGACTGGTGGGGGGCCGCCCAGAGCTCAGGTGAGACATTACAAGATGCGATCACCACCGTTGAGGTGGTGGTTAAGCTTCTGGCTGGAAATCTCTAAAATCCCATTGCCAGAAGGGAATCTGGGAGGGAATGGGTCAAGCCATTGCTCCTTCTTGACTGCCCGGAATTACAGGTTCGACGCGGGCTCTGGCATGGCCACCATCCGCCACCCCTCCATCATCAAACTGGGCGAGTTCCACACTGTGCGGCTTTACCGCAACCTCACCCAGGGTTCCCTGGTGCTGGACAACCATCCGCCGGTGAACGGCACCTCTCAGGTGAGGATTGTATCACTCCTTGCATGGAAACCCTATTCAGAATGGATTGCGTGCATGATTTCCTGGAAAGGGAATCCATATCCAGGGCTCCACCCTCACCCCTCTGCTCTCTTTCCAGGGCAAATTCCAAGGCCTGGACCTAAACGAGGGGCTGTATTTAGGCGGTTACCCCAACTACGCCGCCATCGCCAAGACGGGCCTCAGCAGCGGCTTTATTGGTGAGGGGTTTACTGTATTTCATCACATAATAGTCACACTTTTTATCCCTTTTTTTTTGGACCGAAAAAGTGGGGTGCGACTATTACACGAGGAACAGAAACCTGGCTTTGGTTCTCTGGTTTCTGGTTGTTGGCATTGTCAGGGCCAGTTTAATTTCTCTGGCCTGAATCTTCAAGACTTTGATCCTGGCCTGCATCAATACTTTGATCCTGGCCTGAATCTGCATCACTTTGAACCCCAGGAAGTCCCATAATCCCTTCTGAATCATCAGTAAACCCTGGCTGCTGAGCTACAAGATAAACTGACTTGGAGGAAGGAGAGAAGAGTGGAGCTTCTGAGGTCTCCATTTCGTAGTTTATAAACTGCCTTGCCTTCGGAGATGAAAGGAGGGAGAAATCAGCCCCAAACGGCTCTGCAACTATTATGCGAGGAATACAAAAATGTCCATTTTGCTACCCCAAATATGTGGCTGCGACTATTATGCAGGAGTGACTATTTATTCTGAGATCTCCATTTCGTAGTTTATAAACTGCCTTGCCTTCAGAGATGAAAGGAGGGAGAAATCAGCCCCAAACAGCTCTGCAACTATTATGCGAGGAATACAAAAATGTCCATTTTGCTACTCCCCAAATATGTGGCTGCGACTATTATGCAGGAGTGACTATTTATTCTGAGATCTCCATTTCGTAGTTTATAAACTGCCTTGCCTTCAGAGATGAAAGGAGGGAGAAATCAGCCCCAAACAGCTCTGCAACTATTATGCGAGGAATACAAAAATGTCCATTTTGCTACCCCAAATATGTGGCTGCGACTATTATGCAGGAGTGACTATTTATTCTGAGATCTCCATTTCGTAGTTTATAAACTGCCTTGCTTTCGGAGATGAAAGGAGGGAGAAATCAGCCCCAAACAGCTCTGCAACTATTATGCGAGGAATATAAAAATGTCCATTTTGCTACCCCAAATATGTGGCTGCGACTATTATGCAGGAGTGACTATTTATTCTGAGATCTCCATTTCGTAGTTTATAAACTGCCTTGCCTTCGGAGATGAAAGGAGGGAGAAATCAGCCCCAAACGGCTCTGCAACTATTATGCGAGGAATACAAAAATGTGCATTTTGCTACCCCAAATATGTGGCTGCGACTATTATGCAGGAGTGACTATTTATTCTGAGATCTCCATTTCGTAGTTTATAAACTGCCTTGCCTTCGGAGATGAAAGGAGGGAGAAATCAGCCCCAAACGGCTCTGCAACTATTATGCGAGGAATACAAAAATGTGCATTTTGCTACCCCAAATATGTGGCTGCAACTATTATGCAGGAGTGACTATTTATTCTGAGGTCTCCATTTCGTAGTTTATAAACTGCCTTGCCTTCAGAGATGAAAGGAGGGAGAAATCAGCCCCAAACGGCTCTGCAACTATTATGCGAGGAATACAAAAATGTCCATTTTGCTACCTCAAATATGTGGCTGCGACTATTATGCAGGAGTGACTATTTATTCTGAGATCTCCATTTCGTAGTTTATAAACTGCCTTGCCTTCGGAGATGAAAGGAGGGAGAAATCAGCCCCAAACAGCTCTGCAACTATTATGTGAGGAATACAAAAATGTCAATTTTTCTACCCCAAATATGTGGCTGCGACTATTATTATTTATTATCTCCCTCAGGATGCGTGCGGCAGCTGATCATCCAAGGCAAGGAGGTAATCTTCAAGGACTTTGACCTGCGGGCCCAAGGCGTCTCCAATTGCCCCACCTGCCAGGACCAGCCCTGCCAGGTAGGCCCCTGAAAAAGAAAAATATGGCGGACTCATAAGGCTGAAACTGGAAAAAAATGGAAATGTGTCAGTCTTAATAGGCAGAAATAAGAGAACAGGTTGGGACTAGAGATAGGCAACAAGGGCAACGAGGAAAGGGGTTTCTACCTCCTTGTTGAGGACTACAGAGCTGTGCAGGATGTGGTTCAGTGCCAACAAAGGGCAATCCCTAATCCCGTGTCTTTCCCTTCTCTTTCACCAGAACGGAGGCGTCTGCCAGGACTCGGAGAGCAGCAGCTATGTCTGCGAGTGTCCCCAAGGCTTTGCCGGGAGCAACTGCGAACACCCCCAGGCTCTGCGGTGCCACCCAGGTCAGGGCCCCGTCTCTCCCTCTTTGGCCCCCAGCGGCAGGAGATGGAGGATTCCTCCCTCCTCCTTCCTTCCATCCATCTATCCTTTCTTCCTCCTTCCCTTCCTCCATCCTTCCATCCACCTATCCTTTCTTCCTTCCTTCCTTCCTCCCTCCCTTCCTTGCTTCCTTTCATTCATCCATCCAGTCTTCCTTCCTTCCTCCTTTCCTTCTTTCCTTCCTTCCATCCATCCATCTATCTCTCCTTCTTTGGCAGGAGATGGAGGCTTCCTCCCTTCTCCTTCCTTCCATCCATCTATCCTTTCTTCCTCCCTCCCTTCCTCCATCCTTCCATCCACCTATCCTTCCTTCCTACCTCCCTCCCTTCCATCCTTCCATCCACCTCTCCTTTCTTCCTTCCTTCCTCCCTCCCTTCCTTGCTTCCTTTCATTCATCCATCCATCCAGTCTTCCTTCCTTCCTCCTTTCCTTCTTTCCTTCCTTCCATCCATCCATCCATCCATCCATCCATCCATCCATCCATCCATCTCTCCTTCTTTGGCAGGAGATGGAGGCTTCCTCCCTCCTCCTTCCTTCCATCCATCTATCCTTTCTTCCTCCCTCCCTTCCTCCATCCTTCCATCCACCTATCCTTCCTTCCTACCTCCCTCCCTTCCTTGCTTCCTTCCATTCATTCATCCATCCATCCAGTCTTCCTTCCTTTCTCCTTTCCTTCTTTCCTTCTTTCCTTCTTTCCTTCTTTCCTTCCTTCCTTCCTTCCCTTCCATCCATCCATCCATCCATCCATCTATCTCTCCTTCTTTGGCAGGAGATGGAGGCTTCCTCCCTCCTCCTTCCTTCCATCCATCTATCCTTTCTTCCTCCCTCCCTTCCTCCATCCTTCCATCCACCTATCCTTTCTTCCTCCCTCCCTCCACCCTCCTCCCTCCCTCCCTCCCTTGCTTCCTTCATTCTCCATCCTCCTCCATCTTCTCCCTCCCTCCCCCCTCCCTCCCTTCCTCCCTCCATTACTTCTATTTTTCCAGACACACAAAAAAAAAAAAAACCCAAAACAAAAAAAACCATCCATCTATCCATTCTCCCTCCTCCCTCCCTCCCTCCCTCCTTCCTTCCTTCCATCCATTTATTTATCCATTCTTTTTGTAGCAGCGGAGATAGGCTGCCATAAGAATTCCACACTCGCATGGAATGAATGACGTGGTAGGGGAACAAGTTGTCTTTGTTCAACAGATGGCTTCTCCTTCAAATAGCAAGCTTGGATTTGACCTGACAGCTTGCTGTGGGGTGCCTTGATCATCTCCTGTGCTGAGTCTCTTCTCTCTCCCTGCAGAGGCCTGTGGTCCCGACGCCACTTGCATCAACCGAGCGACGGGGCCCGGCTACACCTGCCGCTGCCTCCTGGGCAAATATGGCGAGAAGTGCATGGCGGGTGAGTGACGGTGCCATGAGATGATGGAAAGAGGGCTCGTGCGTATGGTCCCATCTCACCTGGCCCCATCTCTTTCTGTCCAGGCGCCACGGTGACCACTCCTTATTTCCATGGTGGCAATGCCTTCATCTCCTACCCGCCACTCACCAACATCCACTACGAGTTGCGAGTGGATGCCGAGTTCAAGCCCTTGTCCCCCGATGGCCTCGTCCTTTTCAGTGGCGGAGACGGGAGCCCGGTGGCCGACTTCGTCTCACTCAACATGGTCAACGGGTATCTGGAGTTCCGCTATGAGCTGGGATCCGGTGAGAATGACGACCTTTCTCCTCCGTAGCTGGCAAACTAGCCTCGGTTTCTAAAACTCTGGCATTCCTCGCTTTGCTTGAAGCCATAACTCACAGGGCAATCATCTTGGCCACAATGAGCACAAGTTAAAAAGATCAGTTCTTTGTAAGCTTTCTCCAGAGAGTCTTAGCAAGCCCTGAAGGTCATGTCGGACTCTGAAAAGCTGTTCTCAAGCTTGCCCGTCTTCCTCCCCTTCTAGGCCCGGCGGTGCTGCGGAGCCCCAAGCCGCTGGAGCTGGGCCAGTGGCATAGGGCGACGGCCGAGCGCCTGAACAAAGACGGTTCGCTGCAAGTAGACGAGGAACGACCCGTCAAGCGGTCCTCCCCCGGGAAGAGCCAGGGCCTCAATCTGCGCACTGCCATGTTCCTGGGTGGTGTGGACGACGCTCTGCGGCTGCCCCCTGCGGCCAATGTCTCCAGCCACTTCTACGGCTGCATCGGGGAGGCAAGTGGCCATGTACTAGATAGGAGGAGGAGAAGGACGACTTTCCACGTGTCTTGAGAAGCCAAAAGTACAAAAATCCTTTTAGAGAAAGTCTCTAAAATAATTCCACTGAAATATGTACATAAATCCAAGGCAGGCAAAACTATGCCTCACAAGACCAGAACACAGGAACAGCTTGAAAACTTGGTTACATGAGTTCCAAAGCCCATGACTCTTACAAAGGTTATAATAAATAATAATAATAATAATAATAATAATAATAATAATAATAATATAGGTTGCTTACCTGTAACCGTAGTTTCCCGAGTGATCACCTGTGAATTCGCACGTATGGTAGTTTCTGCACCTGAGCAGACAGCTTCGGAAACTTCTAGATAGATTTGAAAAACGTTGGCGGTTGGCCCCGCCCACTCTCCCCTTGTGAGTATAAGTAGCAGGTGGGCAGCGCCACCGCCTCAGTTCTTTTGATCCGCTGCTCTATCAGCAGCTAAGGACCTTCATTGTGTGGCTTGGGGGGGAAGTAGCCGGCGCACGCTCATAGAGGGCTGATTTAGGCGGAAAATCCATTTTTGTTTGTTTGTTTTTGGCATAAAAGACATAGATGGAACAAGATTGTGGATAAATGTCCCTCCCTTAAGCAGAGAAGACACAAGTATGGACATCATTAACCAAATAGCTAGCTTAGCACAAAGCACAGCATTTAAAAGCTGAAGACCGCCATTTCAATGAAAAAGGAGAACAACGTCAAAGAATAAAAGTCCAGTCAGACATTATTGGCAGTCCAATAAGCTAGTCACACGCTGAAGGTCCTTAGCTGCTGACAGAGCAGCGGATCAAAGGAACTGAGGCAGTGGCGCCACCCACCTGCTACTTATACTCGCAAGGGGAGAGTGGGCGGGGCCAACCGCCAAAGTTTTTCAAATTTATCTAGAAGGTTCCGAAGCTGTCTGCTCAGGCGCAGAAACTACCATATGTGGGGTTCACAGGGATCATAATGGGAAACTTTATTTATACCCCACTACCATCTCCCCAAGGGACTCGGTGCGGCTTACATGAGGCCAAGCCCACAGTACACCAATAAACAAAAGCAATAACAAAAACAATCAATACAATACAATTTATATAAATCACATAAACAAAAAATAAACAGTAACACACAAGCATTTAAAAAACTATGGCCAGACCAAATGTAATAGTTTAAAATTACAAAATAATAATGCTGGGCATGAACAAGGTAGGATATAACTGGTATAGGGTTTTCAAAGAGAGATGAGGGAACACAGTCATACCAACAAGGACCACTTTTAAAGAGCCAAAATCTCTCCCATTAAGTCATTTCTTTTGCACCTGCTCTCCTTATCTCGAAGTCACTTGGAGAAGCGAGTCCTTAATTGCAGGCACTGGTGTCTTAGTTCTAATGTCTGACCTTGACAAGCATTCGTCTTCCCCATTTCTGCACCTCTGGTAGGTTCCCATGAGAATGAATCTCGCCTTCACTGTTCTCTTGGGAACTGCCAGGAGATCTCAAAACATTTCTCTCCGGGCTCTCTGAATCTCTCCCACCCTCTCCTTCCTCATCTTCTGAACACTCAGAATCTGACCAGGCTACAACACCAGGAGTACAAAGCATTAAATCATCAGATATACATATATATATATAGAGAGAGAGAGAGAGAGATATTAACATTAAGATCAGTCAGTCAAAACATTAAAAGCAGAAAGTCCCCAACATGGAGTCACCTGGATCGGCTCTTCTAAAATCCGTGGGCACAATGGAGTGAAGCAAGGGTGTATCCTTGCACCCATTTTTCCTATACTAGTGGGAAGTATAGGAAAAGAGAGTGTGCATCCTCCAAATCTTGCAAATATGCCACTCCCAATTCTTTTATATGCCAATGACACAGTGTTACTTTCTCTTTCCTGTGTGGGGTTAAAACACCTACTAATATCCCTAGAAACATATTGTATAAGTGAACAACTGACAATAAATTGCCCCTTTGTTTGGCTCCTCTAGGTCTCGATCAACGGGAAGAAAGTGGACATCTCCTACAGCTTCCTGGAGAGCCGGGGCATCTCTCAGTGCGTGGATGGCTCTCCTTGTGACCGCAGGCCCTGCCAACATGGTGGCAAGTGCCTCGTCACCGGAGAATACGAGTTCCAGTGCCTGTGTCAGGAGGGCTACAGAGGTGAGACTGAGCTGTGGCACATACCAGTGTTAGGACACTGCCCTGTCCCTTTATTCCAAGTGGCCCAAACACACCCGACGTCTTTTAATCCAAACAAACATTTATTTATTTACTTACTTTATTTGTATACCGCTCTTCTCAGCCCTTAGGTGACTCAGAGCGGTTTACAACAATTTAGGTATAAACACTACAAAATCATTAAGCATTTAAAAGCAATAGCATCACAAATCATTAAACATCAATATCAATACATCACTACATCAATATAACAAATCCATCAGGTCTCATCAATGAAATCAGAATCCAAACTCGTTATCCGATATTCCGTGTTCCGATAGTCAGTCAATCAATCACACTGCTTAGTCGAATGCCTGTTCAAACAGCCAGGTCTTTACTTTCCTCCGGAATGCCAGCAAGGAGGGGGTCGATCTAATATCTGCAGGAAGGGCGTTCCACAGCCGAGGGGCCACCACTGAGAAGGCCCTGTCTCTCGTCCCCGCCAACCGTACTTGTGATGCAGGCGGGACTGAGAGCAGGGCCTCCCCAGACGATCTTAACGTCCTAGCTGGTTCATAGGAGGAGACGTTCGGACAGGTAGGTCGGGCAAAACCGTTTAGGGCTTTAAAGGCTAACTCCAGCACTTTGAATTGTGCCCGGTAGCAAATCGGCAGTGGAGCTGGCGCAGCAGTGGAGTGGTGTGCTCCCTGAGTGTCGCTCCTGTTAGCATCCTGGCTGCCGATCATTGGACCATTTGAAGCTTCCGAGCAGTCTTCAGAGGCAACCCCACGTAGAGAGCATTGCAGTAGTCTAAACGGGATGTGACTAGAGCATGGACTACCGTGGCCAAGTCAGGCTTCCCAAGGTACGGGCGCAGCTGGTACACTAGTTGGAAGCAAGGATATCGTTCAACAGGTTTATTTGATCAACATACCCTGCGGGGTGAACAGAAGAAAGTGCCGCACAAGGCGGAAACACAGTTCAGCTTCATGGTTAATACAATTATTATTATCATCATCATCATCATCATCATCACTATATATACTTTATTTATACTCATTTCCACTCCAAGCCCTCTCTAGTCCTGGCTGGTAGTTTTTCACCCAAGGCTCTTCACCATGAAAATAGAAGCCACAGAGGACAATTTGTCCATTCGTCAGCCCCGTGCAAACCTTCTCTTCCATGTCTCTGACTTGTATTCTTTCCACAGGGGAGCGCTGCGAGATCTCCGAGGTCCAGTGCCGGCTCCAGCGTCCCTGCCTCAACGGCGGCACCTGCAGGGACACCACCTGTGTCTGCCCCCCGGGATTCCTCGGATTGTATTGCGAACATGGTAAGGACATCCCTGGAAGGCACAGCTTCCCTGCCACGCCGATTTGCACAATCCCTTCTTCTGCCCGAGGGACACAGCCCTGCCCACACAATGCTTTGCGCTTTATAAAGCACGAGCTTCGTTACCCAGTGATGCCCGAGTTAGGTAATTTGGTAAGATATGTTAGCGGGGGTGGAAGAAGAGAAGAAAAATATAAAACACACACAACGCCCCTGCTAGGTAGGCATATGATTTCAATCCTATCATGGCCTCCTCCAGCTACACAATGGGATGGACTCCCTCCAAGGCAAGCGGTTCGTTTCAATCTCTGAAACACTGCAGAGTCTTGGTCACAGTTATCAGAGATTTTGTAGCCCAGCCTCTGACCTTGTATAGTTGCTCACCAGCTTGAGCTCTGCCTTTCAATCAAACTCCTTTGGAGGTTTATTCTTCAGTTGTTGTTACATACAACTATTTACAGGTATGTTAATATACAGAGATACTCATAAACACAGCAAGACACTCAAATGATGAGGAGAGTGATGGATTACAGATGCAGAGTGATCATGGCAAGGCATCTAAGATGGCAGAGAGCAAGTACATGGCAAAGAGGAAGATCACATACAAGCCACTTCCATTCTTCCTTCCAGGCATCACAGGAAATGACTCAACTGCCCCTCTAGGATCACATCTCTATTAACCCTTTCAGTAAACTGTGCTGTGAACACATGTCTATAAGAACTGTATTTTTCCACACTGGAGGGAGTTGCAACCCACCCACATCCTTATGGATTTTCTGATTGGACCATTCATAAAACCCAATACAGTCTGATTGGGAAATGCGTAAGGATGTGGGTGGGCTGCAAGTCCCATCATCCTCTTATCATTCCCCCCCCCCCCAAAAAAAAAACAGCCAGTACTTAAAAGAGTCATGGTGGGCTCTCTGTGTGCCAAGTTTGGTCCAGATACAGTCGATTGGATTCACAGTAGTCTCTAGATGTGAATGTATGTATTGCAACTCCCATCATCCAGGGTACACCCCCACCCCCAACTCTTCCAAAAGTTAAAGTGAGTCTTGTGTGGTCTGTGTTCCAAATTTGATCCAGATCCATTGTTGATAGGACTTACAGTACTCTCTGGAAGTGGAAGCCATCTTGGATAATACATACCAACATACATACATAGACACATACAAACAAACATTGACTTGTATTATATAGATATAGAAGATAGACATAGATATATGGGTAGATGTGCTTGTTTCCTTTGCAGAATCGCAGCGGCCCTTCAACGCCGAGTGGACACCCGAGGGCAGCGGAGGCAACGGTAGGTCCGGCAAATGCACATCTTGTTATGGTTGTCATCAGAGGGCCCCTGAATCCACAGAGAGAGAATCCGTGGAGAGAGAGAGTTGACTAAATATTATTTTGACATAGCAGTTGGCGCTCTTTAGCTTTTGGGGTCCCTGGGTGGTATAGATCAACAACTCCCATCACTTTGGGGGAGAATGGGAGCAGCAACTGAACAGCTCTTGTGATTCTGAGATTAAGGAGAAAGACGAAAGGGCATGTTAACATCAGGCATCCTCCCCACAGGCCTTGTATCTTTAAAAAGTCATCCACAAAACGCATAGGGTCTCTAAGCGCAAGGAGATCTAGTTCAATAGGTTTATTTGGCCAAGACACCCTGCTGGGTGGTGCAGCTAAGGAAAGTGCCACACCGAAAATAGGACTCAGCTTAGCTTTATTGTCCAAAACTTGAGCACTTTTTGAGCACGCGCACACAAGCTTCTTCTCTGGACTTTGCCTCATCTTTTCTCTCCCTTTGTTTTCTCTCTTTTCAGCCTTCGTTCTTTCTTCTTGTGCCTGCAGTGTTGAACTTTTTCCCTAGACTTGAATCTCCCTTTCTTTTGGTTCCCCACTCCCGCTTCACAGCACATGCGAGATTTTGTCCTTTATTTATCTATACTTATTTATTCGTATTTATAATATTTATTTATATTTGATGTCTGGCAATGAGAAATGCAGGAGTCGTAGTGTAGCACCTCGAGGAGGGTTGCATAAAAGGCCGTGTTTGGCACAAGTGTTACAGAGTTTGTTCTGAAGGCGTTTTCCGGTCTGCTTCTCTTTTTTTCCAGATGCTCCCGGACAGTACGGTGCCTACTTCCATGACGGCGGCTACGTGGCCCTTCCTCCGCATGCTTTCCCCAGGAGGTGAGACTTCATTGTGGGTGGTCCCTCAGTGACCCCGAAAAGACTGTCATAAGTACTTTAAAGGGATCTTTTATTTCATTCACATTGCGACAGAGTATACCACAGAGCAATGCAGAGAAAGAATGTAGACACCCAGACTCTATAGCTACTACACTGGGTACACAAACAAAGGGTAATTTACATTTCACTCAACATTCACACACATATATACATTCATGTCAGAAATATTAAAAATTAACTAGGTATTTTTAATTACAAAAATCTGATTCACGCACTGAAAGGGTTAAACGGATGCAATGACTCGGCAAATGCTGAAATTCAATATAAGTAGGTGTGCCTGTAGCTTAGTGTGCCTCAGTGTTAGTTGCCCTCAGTATGAAGAGGCTTCAGTCTGAGAGAGGCCTCAGTGTGAGGTAAACCTCAGTGTGAGTAGGCCTCAGTGTGAGGTAAACTTCAGTGTTAGTGTAAGTGTAGTGTAAGGTCCCGTGTTTATATCCCGGACGAGCCCCCAGAAAATAGGCCTCAGTGTGTGGGAGGCCTGGTGTGAGAAGGCTTTGGTGAGATGAGCCCCAGGTTTAAGGCCTCCAGTGTGAAGGCCTGGAGAGAGAGGCCTCAGTGTGAGGTAAACCTCAGTGTGAGTAGGCCTCAGTGTGAGATAAACTTCAGTGTTAGTGTAAGTGTAGTGTAAGGTCCCGTGTTTATATCCCAGACAAGCCCCCAGAAAATAGGCCTCAGTGTGTGAGAAGGCTTCGGTGAGATGAGCCCCAGGTTTAAGGCCTCCAGTGTGAAGGCCTGGAGAGAGAGGCCTCAGTGTGAGGTAAACCTCAATGTGAGTAGGCCTCAGTGTGAGGTAAACTTCAGTGTTAGTGTAAGTGTAGTGTAAGGTCCTGTGTTTATATCCCGGACGAGCCCCCAGAAAATAGGCCTCAGTGTGTGGGAGGCCTGGTGTGAGAAGGCTTTGGTGAGATGAGCCCCAGGTTTAAGGCCTCCAGTGTGAAGGCCTGGAGAGAGAGGCCTCAGTGTGAGGTAAACCTCAGTGTGAGTAGGCCTCAGTGTGAGATAAACTTCAGTGTTAGTGTAAGTGTAGTGTAAGGTCCCGTGTTTATATCCCAGACAAGCCCCCAGAAAATAGGCCTCAGTGTGTGAGAGGCCTGGTGTGAGAAGGCTTCGGTGAGATGAGCCCCAGGTTTAAGGCCTCCAGTGTGAAGGCCTGGAGAGAGAGGCCTCAGTGTGAGGTAAACCTCAGTGTGAGTAGGCCTCAGTGTGAGGTAAACTTCAGTGTTAGTGTAAGTGTAGTGTAAGGTCCTGTGTTTATATCCCGGACGAGCCCCCAGAAAATAGGCCTCAGTGTGTGAGAGGCCTGGTGTGAGAAGGCTTTGGTGAGATGAGCCCCAGGTTTAAGGCCTCCAGTGTGAAGGCCTGGAGAGAGAGGCCTCAGTGTGAGGTAAACCTCAGTGTGAGTAGGCCTCAGTGTGAGGTAAACTTCAGTGTTAGTGTAAGTGTAGTGTAAGGTCCCGTGTTTATATCCCGGACGAGCCCCCAGAAAATAGGCCTCAGTGTGTGAGAGGCCTGGTGTGAGAAGGCTTCGGTGAGATGAGCCCCAGGTTTAAGGCCTCCAGTGTGAAGGCCTGGAGAGAGAGGCCTCAGTGTGAGGTAAACCTCAGTGTGAGTAGGCCTCAGTGTGAGGTAAACTTCAGTGTTAGTGTAAGTGTAGTGTAAGGTCCTGTGTTTATATCCCGGACGAGCCCCCAGAAAATAGGCCTCAGTGTGTGAGAGGCCTGGTGTGAGAAGGCTTCGGTGAGATGAGCCCCAGGTTTAAGGCCTCCAGTGTGAAGGCCTGGAGAGAGAGGCCTCAGTGTGAGGCAAACTTCAGTGTGAGTAGGCCTCAGTGTGAGGTAAACTTTAGTGTTAGTGTAAGTGTAGTGTAAGGTCCTGTGTTTATATCCCGGACGAGCCCCCAGAAAATAGGCCTCAGTGTGTGAGAGGCCTGGTGTGAGAAGGCTTCGGTGAGATGAGCCCCAGGTTTAAGTCCTCCAGTGTGAAGGCTGCTGTGTTTAAAAGGTTGTGTGAAGCTCTTGTGTAAGTTTAGTGTGAGAAGGGGCTCTGTGAGAGCAAAGATATTTATCTGCATGAGAAAGAAGCCTAGTGTGGAAGCAAAGAAGGAAGTCTAAAGAACTTTATTTGTGTCATTGAAACCTTGTTCTTGTAAATAGTGCAATCATATTACTTTGCCATAAACAAAGGTTCCTTAAGGAAGAGAAAACATTGATCTGAGTATTTTGGCCCTTTCTATCACTTTAGGCTACTGGTGCTGGATCACGCTGCTGTTAAGTTACTCTGCTGTACGTTTATGAGAGGGTCTTTTGTTAATAACCCCACTCGACCAACAATTAACTCGTTCATGCATACATTACCATCTTTTCTTCCTACTCCTGGAAAAGAGGTCCCAAAATGGGCCAGACTGTGTTCCTAGCAAATGTGCCATTCTGTGAATACACCTCATTCCTCCATTCATTGGAGAAGATTGCGGGTGGACTAGACTCCTCCAGTCTGCCACAATATTGTGAAAATGTAAGTCTCTCGGAGCACCTTGGTGGAGAGTGACTAATTAAGAAATAAAGTGAAGTGAATTTTGGAATAGTACAATGTTTCTAATATAGCAATATTTCTTGCTGATGTTCTTCCAAAAGTTGTAAATGAATGACAGGTGTTTACATCCTGATTCCATCAGGTCCTGGACAGATGTTGACTTTCCTTTCTTAGCTGATGTTGGTTTTCCTTCTTAACTTAAGGAACCATTGTGTTTGCTTCCTTACTTAAAAGAGCCCTCGTCTCTGGTAATGTGAACATGTTGTTTTCCACCACAGAGTTCTCGTCAGCAACTTTTAATTACATGACAGGATGGTGACGGGGCTTTCAGGGAAAGTAGGAGATGGTGCTCTTCTCCCTTGTCTCATCACGGCTTCCTTTTTGTGTTGCAGCCTCCCCGACGAGCCCGAGACCATCGAGATGGAGGTGCGCACCAGTTCCTCCAACGGGCTCCTCTTGTGGCAAGGCGTGGTGAGTCAGCGAGCGAGGGCGGAAGCGTCCACACACGAGGATGGGACTTGCAGTGATTGAGCTGTAGAGTGGGGTCCTGAGCTTGCCTTGATGGAATGAACTGTCCCATTGCATGAAGGCCTTTTGTCACTGCATGCCTTCCTTCACGTCGCATGCTTTCAAGTCACTGGCCTTGCCGTACACGCATTGCTGACTATAGACCCGTCTTGACCTGAGTTTCATGCGCTATCGAATCTAAAGCACACCTCAGTATTTGCTGGTGAATGTCATGTGCAGCGGCGAAAAGTGACTTCTTTGTCATTGGGCCAAAAAAGGTGCTTTGTAATGCTATTATTAATAATCTTTTTAAGAATATTTTAATTAATCTCATTATCTTAACACTATTTTACAAATGATATTTTAATAATAAAAATATTATTTTAAGGTGAGCATTAGATTTGAGTAAATAGGGTAAATGTAGCTTCGCTTCCGCCAACTGTGCCCTTGCTGCTGCTTGGCCGACGTTGCATGGCTTGTGCCTTCTTTTCCAGGCGACTGGCGCGGTGGACGATGAGCATCATGTTGCTAATGAGGTATTTATTTGTGTCTGCATTTGGGGCATTAGGTGCATGAGAGAAAGGGGCAGAGGGGGGCTGCAGCTTGCAGGAACCCCTATTCTGTGCTGGGGGTGTTTCCATGCCTGCTTCCATAGGCTTCACGGCTCTGTCTCGGTGGGCCATGCACTCACGGAACGCCGTCATCTCTCTTGCAGGAGGAAGGAGGCAGTGGGAAAGGCAAGGACTTCATCAGCCTCGGCCTGAAAGACGGGCACTTGTTGTTCAGGTGAGCAAAACCACCACCGTTATTATTATTATTGCAGTAGAGTCTCGCTTATCCGACATTAACGGGCCAGCAGAACGTCGGATAAATGAATATGTCAGATAATACGGAGTCTTATCCGTCCAACGCGGCGCTAGACACCTAGAATACTAACAACAGGGACTCAAAGAGTTAAGGCAAGGCAACGCCCCAGGGTTAGAGGGCCCAGCAGGAAGTCCCCGGATACAGAAGAGGAGAGGGTGGAAATCGCAGAAGGAAGGAGGGAGGACGCTTCCGCTTCCGGTCCTGCCTCTTTCCCCCCTTTCCTCCCTCCTCCTCTTCCTCCTCCTCTTGCCTTTTTCAATTGGGAATGGAGAGTTGGGGAGCACTCCTTTAATTGAAGGGGAAATGCTGGCGGAAAAGGAGGGTGTCGGATAAGAGCGTCGGATAAGACGGAATGTCAGATAAGCGAAGGTCGGATAAGCGAGACTGTATTGGGAATGGAGAGAGAGTTGGGGAGTGCTCTTTTAATTGGAGGGGAAATGCTGGAGGAAAAGGAGGGGTGTCAAAGACTGTCGGATAAGACGGAATGTCGGATAAGTAAACGTCAGATAAGCAAGACTCTACTGTATTGGGAATGGAAAGAGAGTTAGGGAACGCTTTTTTAATTGGAGGGAAAATGCTGGAGAAAAGGAAGGTGTCGGATAAGATAAGATGTCGGATCAGCGAAGGTCGGATAAGCGAGACTCTACTAGGAATGGAGAGAGTTGGGGAGCGCTCTTTTAATTGGAGGGGAAATGGTGGAGGAAAAGAGAAGCGTCGGATAAGAGGGAATGTCAGATAAGTGAAGGTCAGATAAGCGAGACTCTACTGTATTAGCAGAACTTGGATGGCCATCTGGTGGGAGGGCTTTGATGGTTTCCCATCGTGGTCAACTGTGAATACGCACATATGGTAGTTTCTGCACCTGCGCAGACAGCTTCGGAACCTTCTAGATAGATTTGAAAAACTTTGGCAGTTGGCCCCGCCCACTCTCCCCTTGCGAGTATACCTCCTCAGTTCTCTTCATCCGCCGCTCTGTCAGCAGCTGAGAACCTTTGTTTGTGTGACTAGCTTTTTTGGACTGCCGTACTGACTAAACCGGACTGTCTATCGCTCTCTGACTTTCTCCACTCTGACCTGGTCTGTTTGCTGGATTTCTGACTTTAAGTATTCTCTTTTCAACCGTCATGGCAGCTGCTTCGGCCTTTAAGCGCAGTGCCTCATGCTCAGCAAGCTATTCAGACAAAGTCGGCCTTTTGTCATGTTTGTTGTGCCTGGGGGACAGACAAACAAGGAAAAATCTGGTACTTCGTCTGAATGCCGTACTTTATGAGCGTAGTTTCCTGAGTGGTCACTGTGAATTCGCACATCCCCGCCCATCCTCCCCGCTTTTTGTCATGTCTCGGTTTTTCTGGCTGCTTCCGCGGCAGAACTGAAAAGAACTGGGGTGGTGGCTCCGCCCACCTGCTACTTATACTCGCAAGGGGAGAGTGGGCGGGGCCAACCACCAAAGTTTTTGAAATCTATCTAGAACAGTGGTTCTCGACCTTCTTAATGTCACGACCCCTTAATACAGTTCCTCATGTTGTGGTGACCCCCAAGCAAAAAATTATTGTTATTGCTACTTCATATCTGCAACTTTGCTACTGTTATTATGTAAATATCTGATATGCAGGATGTATTTTCATCACTGGACCAAATTTGAATACTGGTGGGGTTGGGGGGATTAATTTTGTCATTTGGGAGTTGTAGTTGCTGGGATTTATAGTTCACCTACAATCAAAGAGCATCTGAACTCCATCAACAATGGAATTGAACCAAACTTAGCACACAGAACTCCCCTGACCAACAGAAAATACTGGGAGAGTTTGGTGGGCATTGACCTAGAGCTTTGGAGTTGTAGTTCACCTACATCCAGAGAGCGCTGTGGACTCAACAATGATGGATCTGGTCCAAACTTGGCACAAATACTCAGTATGCCCAAATGTGAACACTGGTAGAGTTTGGTGAAAATAGTCCTTGACATTTGGGAGTTGTAGTTGCTGGGATTTATAGTTCACCTACAATCAAGAGAATTATGAACCGCACCAATGGTAGAATTGGGTGAAATTTCCCACACAGAACCCCCATGACCAACAGAAAATGTTGTGTTTTCTGATGGTCTTTGGTGACCCCTCTAAAAACCCCTCGCAACCCCTCCAGGGGTCCCGACCCCCAGGTTGAGAACCACTGATCTAGAAGGTTCCGAAGCTGTATGCTCAGGCGCAGAAACTACCATATGTGCGTATTCACAGCTGACCACTCGGGAAACTACGGTTACAGGTAAGCAACCTACATTTCTCCATGCTGGCCACGGGGGACGATCTAGAGCAGGCTTTGCGTCGTGTTTTGCCAGCCTAGGAAGCCATGTGCGGCATGTAAACAACAATAACAACAAGGTGTGTTGCCTCTTTCAGTTACCAGCTGGGGAGCGGAGAAGCCAACATCCTCTCCGAAGACCCGGTGGATGACGGCGAGTGGCACCGAGTGACCGCCATTCGGTAAGTGATGCCGTCGTAGTGGGATCGTGGCTGGGGGCATTCATTCTTTCATGATCCCGCTCTTGGGATCCCTCCTGATCTCACTCCGATCTCCTTCAGGGAAGGGAAGAAGGGATCACTCCAAGTGGACGGCGAGGAAGCCGTGACGGGGGAATCGTCGGGGAAACACGTCATGGTCAACGCCAAAGGACGCCTTTATATCGGTAGGTGTCTTTTCTGTCTCCCAAAAGCTGGGTGGTATTCTATTCGTTTTTGTTTGCCTTTTGCTTTGCTTTTTCCTTTTGTTGTTCCATCTGCTGATGGGTTTATGTCATATTAATTCTGTTTTGATTATACATCTGGTCTTTTCTGTTATTTATTTATTTATTTATTTACGGCATTTATATGCCGCCCTTCTCACCCCGAAGGGGACTCAGAGCGGCTTACAACATATATTTTCATACAATATATTATATTAATAACATAGTACAATATCAGTATATATTACTATATTGCACTATACCATTATATTGTAATATTATTAGTAATATTACATGTAATGTAAATATATAATTATAATTATGATATTGAATTATTATTACTAGTATTATATTGTACTACATTATAATATTATAAATGTTATATGTATATACAATATACTATATTATATTATTAGTAAAGACAAGATGGAAATGTCTTCTGTAAATATTTATGTAAATATTCTTGAGCTTATGCCAATGGTAAGCCCGCAGGTTCAATTAACATTAAAATTATAGTATGATTAAAATAATAATTTTATTAAAATATTATTGCAATATTGATAGTATTACAATTATATGATTTAAAATATATCTTGATTATATTTTTAAATATTGTTATATAATAACAAAATTGTAATATTAAAATATGATTAAAATAATATTAAAATATGGTTAAAATACAAATGATATTGCAATTATATTATTTGAATATGTTCTTAAAATACCATTGTTATTATATTAATACCAAAATTTTAAGATTAAAATTATACATTTAATATTATGCCACGTGATTTGATCTGGGACTACTCTGAGCTCAGACTCCATTTTAGACTTCAGACTCCATGAGCCGCTATTAGACCTTGTGGTCTAATAGATAGTTAAAATGCAGTGTCTTTGTTTTGAATACTAATATGTGAAATGTTAAAGTTCTATGTCAGAGTTTGTATCTACTATTGAGTATTTTCAAGAGTTTAGTAACATTACTTATATTATAGACTAGCTTGGGGACCCGGCGCTGCCTGGGTTATTTGAGAAAGGAATTGTGTATCAAGGTTGGTCTGTATCAGTTATTTATATGGCTCGCAGTGGTCTCAGGAAGTTAGTGAAGGTACTGCGAGTCCCATCATCTGTGGTCCATCCTCCTCCAAACTGCACCAGGATGTAGAGTGGGTCATGGGGGCTCTGTGTGCCAAGTTTGGTCTTGATCAGTCATTGGATGAGGGTTGCAGTGGTCTCAGGAAGTGAGTTAATGTACTGCAAGTCCCATCATCCATAGTCTGTTCTCCCCCAAACCTCACCAGAATGTTGTGTTGACCATGAGGGCCCTCTGTGCCAAGTTTGGTCTTTATTGGTATTTGGATGAGTGTCGCTGTGGTTTCAGGAAGTGAGTGAAGGTACTGCAAGTCCCATCATCCATGGTCCATCCCCGGCCAAACCACACCAGGGCGTAAAGTGGGTCATGAGAGGTCTATGTGCCAAGTTTGGTCTTGATCAGTCATTGGATGAAGGGCACAGCAGTCTCAGAAAGTGAGTGGAGGTACTTCAAGTCCCATCATCCATGGTCTGCCCTCCTCCAAACCACAGTAGGATGTAGAGTGGGTCATGGGGGCTCGGTGTACCAAGTTTGGTTTTTGTTGGGGGCCACAGTGGTCCCTGGGAACCAAACTGTTTTAAAGTACTACAAATCCCATAATCCGTGGTCCACCTCCCCCAAACTGTACCAGGACGTAAAGGGGTTCATGGGGGTTATGTGTGCCAAGTTTAGTCCAGTTGCGTCACCTGTGTTGGCCACAGTGGCCTGTGAAAGTGGCAGCCAGTCAGAAAGCTGTCACATACAATTCGGTCCTTCCTCCCTTCCGCCCGCCGCATACATACATACAAACATTCACTTTTATTATATATATAGATAGATATAGATTACTAAACTCTGAGTACCATATACAAACTCTGACATAGAAATGTGACATTTCACACATTAGTATTCAAAGCAAAGACATTGCATTTGAACTATCTAGAGACAGCACACTTAAAACTCATCAAAGGGTCTAATAGCGGCTCATGGAGTCTGAAGTCTAAAATGGAGTCTGAGCTCAGATTAGTCCCAGATCCGATCATCCCTCAACCTCAAGACACATATAGGGAAAGCTGCATGTCAAAACATACATATACAATACAGTAAGCAAACAGAATCATAAACAAACAAATTACTAGGGGAGGCTTGAAGAAGGATGCCATTTCCTACAGCGATGATGCCACTTTTTCCCCTTTCCGCAGGCGGTGCCCCCGACCCGCAAGCACTGACGGCTGGCAAGTACACCTCGGGGATCTCGGGGTGCGTCAAGAATGTGTTGCTGCGCAACGAGAGGCCCGGCCATCAGCCGCAGGCGCCAGTCGACCTCCATCACCAGGCGGAGGCCGGCGTCAACGTCCAGGAGTGCGCCTCGTAATGGGGGGCACCACCACCGCCACTCTCCGGGATGCCTTTTATGATTATTATTATTGTTATTATTATTTTTCCAACTGAGAGGACTTCTATTATTATTATTATTTTATGATGATGATTTTTTTAACAGAGAGAATCACACAAAAAAGGTGCTTTGCTGCTACCAAAAAAAATACGGGGGGAGGCGGGGGGATGTGTGTTTTGTGTCTACGGCCAACGCGGGCTCTCCTTGCGAGGAGGTGAGTGTCCGAAGAGGGCTTTGATGCGCTCCCTCCATCCAGAGGGAGGAATCAGGAGCGTCCTGGGTTAGTAGCCGAACCTCCCTTCGCTCTGCCATTAGTTTCCTGGACTCCGGAGAGGCTTCCCAAGCAAAGCCGCAACCTTGTTCCGGAGCCCCGGAGGGCTAACCACTGCCTTGACGCTTCCCCAACTCCTCCGCCAGTGCCTTACGAGGAAGAAGATAGGCGCACAGGGCTTCTTTGGGCGCTTGCGCTGCGCCGGACAAGGCCATCCGCGGACTCTTCCCCTTTGCCGATCCCCTTTGGTCCGGTCTGCACTGAGTGAGGGCTCGCCTTGACCTTCCTCTCCTCCCGCTTCAGCCAAAGAGCAGGACGGCGGTTCCAAAGATGCCCGAAGGAAGCCTTCTCCAACAAACCGTCGTGCCAGTCTCTGGCTCGTTTGGACTCGGACCGCGAGCCTCCGTCGGCTTCTCCGGCTTCCTTTCGAAAGTCAGAAGCCGCCTCTGCCGCCGCCGCACTGCCCTTATCCCTCGTCCCCGGCTTCCCCAGCCCCCCTTTTATTCGTATTCTCTTTTCTTAAATAAATGGTGCTGAACCCCAAGAGCTGGGGACGTGTCCGAGCCTCCTTCTCCGAGTCCTTTGCTTCTTCCTAAATCCTGAGTAACCTCTCATGGGAAATGATCTATCCCTGAACCGCTGTGCTCTGGATCACAACTGCCCTTTCACAGCTAAAACTCCCTTCAGTTGTGTGACCACATGTCCATTAGAACGGTATTTTCCACCCAGTTTTACACAATGAGTTTACAGTCAAGACATTCCTGTCTAGTAGTGATTTATAGGTTCCAAATCACGACTTCCCCAAACTGCTGCAAGCTGGATAGCAAGTCCCAGAAATGAGCAAAAATACAGCAGAGCCCTTCCACAACACAACCGTGCTTCAGCCTATCAAAGCTCCCTGCTTCGGCAGTGATGGCACGATAGTCAGCTAGATGAAACCCCATATATATATATAGGTAAAGGTAAAGGTAGTCCCCTGACATTAAGTCCAGTCATGTCTGACTCTGGGGTGTGGTGCTCATCTCCATTTCTAAGCCGAAGAGCCAGCGTTGTCCGTAGACACCTCCAAGGTCATGTGGCCGGCATGACTGCATGAAGCGATATATATATATATATATATATATATATATATATATATAGTTATATTATGTATATGTGTGTGTGTATATTTGTGTGTTTATATGTGAACATCCCTGTCCCGACTTAAAAGACAATTGAGTCTGAGAGGAACAAAAAGCATATATATATATATATATATAGCAAATAAATAATATATAATATATATAATATAGTATATATTATAATATATAATATATAATTTAGCAAATAAATAATGTATAATAATTTAGCAAATAAATAATATATAATAATATAGCAAATAAATAATGTATAATAATATAGTAAATTAATATATAACAATTTTGCAAATAAATAATATATAATAATATAGTAAATAAATAATATATAATATAGTAAATAAATATATAATTTAGCAAATAATATATAATAATATAGTAAATAAATATATAATAATTTAGCAAATAAATAAGGTATAAATAAGGTATAATAATATAGTAAATAATATAATATTGCAAATAAATAATATATAATAACATATAAAGACATATAATAATATAGTAAATAATTGTATTTAAAATGCAAAATTTTATATTACAAATCACATTATTTATATTTTCTCATGTCATAGTATATTATTTATACTTATTTTACTGTGCAATTTAATATGATGCCAAACAAAATTGACATGAAATACACTAAATATTAATATATGGCATAATACAAATAATGTCATTTTAATATAAAATCAAAATATATTCCGCTTTAGAAAAATATTAGTATTATTATTATTAGTATAATTAATGATTTAATACGAGGGAAAGTTTGCGACTATTTGCGCATGCGTGGCAAAAAAGGGGCATTCCAAGCACTGCGCATGCGCCTAGCATTCCCCCCTCCGGCCTTTTGTGGGCGGAGTAGAGCAGGCGGGAGAGAGAAGGACTCCGCCCCCTTTGGGCCGAACGGACCAATCCACTTCGGGCGGTGACGTCATGATATGAAGTTAGAAGTGAGGGGCGGGGCAAATGACAGCGTTGAGCACACCAACCAATCAGCTTCGAGTCGGGGCGTGGCCTAAGAAGCACGAAATAAGGGGCGGGGCCATGAGTTGTGACGTCAGACGTAACCCGTCGGAGCTTGGCCTATGTGGCCTTCGGGGTACAAATGGGCCAATCAGCTTCTATGTACACAATAAGGGGCGGGAAACGCCCTTTGCGCAGAAGGAACCAATCCGCGTCAGGCATTACCTATCAGGTGCGTGGCCTATATAGATCTCTAACGGCCTTGGCGCCGAATGGACCAGTCCGCTTCAAGTCGTGACGAAAAGGGGCGTGGCCTATAGAGAGTGCGCCGAATGGACCAATCCGATTTAATTCATGACGAAAAGGGGCGTGGCTTATAGAGAGAGTGCGCCGAATGGACCAATCTGCTTCAAGTCTTGACGATGAGGGGCGTGGCTTATAGAGAGAGTGCGCAGAATGGACCAATCCACTTCAAGTCGTGACGAAAAAGGGCGTGGCTTATAGAGAGTGCGCCGAATGGACCAATCCGCTTCAAGTCGTGACGAAAAAGGGCGTGGCTTATAGAGAGAGCGCGCAGAATGGACCAATCCGCTTCAAGTCGAGACGAAAAAGGGCGTGGCTTATAGAGAGTGCGCAGAAAGGACCAATCCGCTTCAAGTCGAGACGAAAAGGGGCGTGGCTTATAGAGGGAGTGAGCCGAATGGACCAATCCGCTTCAAGTCGAGACGAAAAGGGGCGTGGCTTATAGAGAGAGTGAGCCGAATGGACCAATCCGCTTCAAGTCGTGACGACAAGGGGCGTGGCTTATAGAGAGTGCGCCGAATGGACCAATCCGCTTCAAGTCGTGACGAAAAGGGGCGCGGCCTATAGAGAGTGCACTGAATGGACCAATCCGCTTCAAGCGTAAACGCGGGGCGTGGCTTATGCAGCGCGGGTGAAGCCTCGTCGAAGGAACCAATCGGCTTCGAGTAGTGACGTCAGGCGCAAACCATTCTCTGCGCGGAAGGAAGGAGCCAATCCGATTCGCGCGTCGACGTCACTCCGTGTACGGCGGGCGAGGAGGGCCGCTTTTCTTCCTGGCTTCCGTTTCCGGCTGGCGGGGCTTCCGGCGGCGAGGGGTGAGGGGATGGCTCCGCGGCTGCAGCTGGAGAAGGCGGCCTGGCGCTGGGCCGAGGAGGTGCCCCCGGAGGCCGTGACCCAGGAGCACGTCGAGGCCGCCTACCGCGTCGCCCTCCCGGCCTGCCTCCGCGCCGCCTGCCGGTGAGTCCCTCAGTCCGCGAGGGAGGGAAGGAGGGAGGGAAGAGGCCGGCCCGCCTGCCTGCCTGCCTGCCCCGTAGGCCTCAAGGCCGGGCCCACGCCTGCCCTCCAGGCCTCGCTTGGCCACTCCTCCATCGCCCTGAGGATGTCCCTTTGTGCCCTCATCACCACCATCACCATCAGTACATTGTGATTGTTGCTATTAATAAGTGCATCATTATTACTATATATTATGAGGATGGTTGTTAATGATTTATATATTATATATATATATATTGTGTTTGTATGTGTGTATATGTGTATATTGCCTTCGACAATATATGTGTAGATATATTTGTGTATCACAATAATATAATACAATGTTTGTGTGTGTATATATATGTGGGGGTGTATGTGTGTATATATTTGTGTGTATATGTGTATTTGTGTGTGTATATATGTGTGTATGTGTGTAAGTGTGTATATATTTGTGTGTATATGTGTATTTGTGTGTGTATATATGTGGGTGTATATGTGTGTAAGTGTGTATATATTTGTGTGTATATGTGTATTTGTGTGTGTATATATGTGGGTGTATATGTGTGTAAGTGTGTATATATTTGTGTGTATATGTGTATTTGTGTGTGTATATATGTCTGTCTGTGTATGTGTGTAAGTGTGTATATGTGTGTATATATGTGGGTGTATGTGTGTAAGTGTGTATATATTTGTGTGTATATGTGTATTTGTGTGTATATATATGTGGGTGTATATGTGTGTAAGTGTGTATATATTTGTGTCTATGTGTATTTGTGTGTGTATATATATGTCTGTGTGTACGTGTGTGTATATGTGTGTATATGTGTGAGTGTGTATATATTTGTGTATATATGTATATTTGTGTGTATATGTATATTTGTGTGTGTGTTTATATGTGTACATTCATATTGTACGTATGGACCATAATGACAGATCTGTACATGCATATTGTGTATATGTGTATATATATTTGTGTATATATGTGTGTTTGTGTATATATATCAGCATATGTGTGTATATATGTGTATATATATTTGTGTATATATGTGTGTTTATATATGTTGTATGTATGTGTGGATGTGTATATATATATGTGTGTGTGTATATATATATGTATATTTGTGTGTGCTGGTGCATATATATGTGTGTGTAACTCTGCTGCTGAGTACGCATGCCCAGTGCGGAACACATCACGCTAAAACAGTAGATGTGGCTCTGAATGAGACATGCTGCATTATCATCACGGGGTGCCTGCGCCCTACACCACTGGAGAATTACACTGCTTAGCCGGTATTGCACCACCTGACATCCGCCGGGAAGTAGCAGCCAATAGTGAAAGGACCAAGGCAGAGACATCTCCAGCTCATCCCCTGTTTGGGTATCAGCCAGCACGTCAACGACTTAAATCAATAAATAGTTTTCTAAGATCTACAGAGACACTCGCTGGAACACCCAGCAAGCGAGAGTCCAAAAGTGGCAGGCTCAAACCCAGAACCTGATACCAAATGAGAGACTCCCCCCTGGGCACACAGAAGACTGGGCGACTTGGAAGGCGCTGAACAGACTGCGCTCTGGCACCACGAGATGCAGAGCCAACCTTCAGAAATGGGGCCACAAAGTGGAATCCACGACATGCGAGTGTGGAGAGGAGCAAACCACTGACCACCTGCTGCAATGCAACCTGAGCCCTGCCATATGCACCATGGAGGACCTCCTTGCGGCAACACCAGAAGCACCAGAAGTGGCCATCTACTGGTCAAAGGACATTTAATCAACTACCAAACTCACAAATTTTGTATTTTGTCTGTTTGTTTGTTTGTTTTGTTCTGTTAGAAATGTAATATAATGGACTGGTTGCCCTGAATAAAATAATATGTGTACATGCATATTGTGTATATGTGTGTGTATATATATTTATGTGTTTATATGTGTACATGCATATTGTGTGTATGTGCGTGCTTGTCTATAGGCATATTTGTGTGTGTATATGTATGTATGTGGATATGTATATGTGTGTGGATGTATATATGTATGTATATGTATGTGTGTATATGTGTGTTTGTATATATATATACACACACACACATACGTGTGTGTGTGTATTAATGTGTGCATGTGCATATGTATATGAGTATGTGTATATGTATTTATGGTGTATTTTTTGGGTTTTTAAGTCTGTTCCGCACATGTGCTTGTGTGTTAATGGGTGATGGACACCTGAATTGGTGTCAATTCGTCCAGTTGTTTTTGAGTTACGTTAATCCCACAAACGAACATTACATTTTTATTTATATAGATAATGTAATGCAACATAATACTAATAATAATAATACAATAGTATAATTATATATTTAATATTACATGTGGTATTATGAATAATATTATAATGGTATAGTACAATATAGTGATATATAATACTGATATTGTACTATGCTAATAATATAATATATTGTATGTATATGTATTTCTCTCCCTCCTTGGCTGTCCTTTATCATCATTATTACATTGTTATTGTTGTTATTAGTACTATATTATTATATTATTATTATATATAATTATATACTATTATGGTTGTTAGTGTTTTATACTTGAGTGTGTGTGTGTGTGTATGTATATGTGTGTGTATATATATATATATATATATATATTCTCTCCCTCCTTGGATGTCCTATTTTTAGCCTTATTATCATCATTATATTGTTATTGTTGCTATTAGTATTATATTATTGTGATATTATTGTTTTATATATATAAGTATATATTATTACTGTGGTTGTTAATGTTTTATATGTGTGCGTGTGTGTGTATATATATATATATATAGAGAGAGAGAGAGATTTTATTATAGGTTTCTCCTTCCATGGTTGTCCCTTTTTAGCCTTATCATCATTATATTGTTATTGTTGCTATTAGTATTATATTATTGTGATTAATAATAATAATAATAATAATAATAATAATAATAATAAACTTTATTTGTACCCCGCTCCATCTCCCAATGGGGACTCGGTGCGGCTTACATGAGGCCAAGCCCAAAACAACAATTACATGAAATAAAACAAAACCGAAAACGCAAATAATAAACAATAATAATGCAATTACATAAAACAAAAGACAACATAGCAATATAAAATTACAATAAACACAATAACATATATATATAATACTTGTTAATGTTTTATATGTGTGTGTGTATATATATATATGTACATACATACATATAATTAGATTTTATTATAGGTTTCTCTCCTTCCATGGATGCCTTATCATCATTATTATAGTGTTATGGTGGCTATTAGTAGTATATTATTGTGATATTTGTGTGTGTGTGTGTATATATATATATAATTAGATTTTATTATAGGTTTCTCTCCTTCCATAGATGCCCCATTTTAGCCTTATCAGCATTATTATATTGTTATTGTTGCTATTAGTATTATATTATTGTATGTGTGTATGTATATGTATATTATGGTTAATGTTTATATGTGAGTGTATGTATGTCTCTCTCTCTCTCTCTCTCTCTATATATATATATATATATTAGATTTTATTATAGGTTTCTCTCTTTCCATGGATGCCCCTTTTTTAGACTTATCATCATTATTATATTGTTATTGTTGCTATTTGTATTATATTATGATATTATTATTATGATGATATTTCGTGTATATATAACAACATTGATAACCCAGGAACAATAATCATGTAAAAATAAAACCAAAAATAGATGCCCTTGGTACCTCTTGCAAGCCCTGATTTGGCTTTGTTTCCTTGCAGGAGGAACTGCCGGGGGAACCCCAACTGCTTGGTGGGCATCGGGGAGCAGGCCTGGCTGGGAGAGATCGACGAGGACGCCTTCCACAACATCGAGGACCCAAATGCCGAGAGACGGAAAAAGGTTGCTCATCCCGGGGGGGGGGGGGGATTTGCATCCGCTTTAAGGGTAGATCCCCGAGTTGTGGACAGGTTTGACAATAGACCCAAAGTCCAACGTTACCTGCTACCGAGTCTCAGGAGGCATTTACAGATACAGGCAGCCCCCTAGTTAGATATATAGAAGAAGTAGATATGGGTATAGAAGATATAGATACACAGACAGAAGATGTAGATATAGAAGATTTAGTTATGGCTCTAGAAGATGTAGATATTGATATAGAAGATGTGGATACGGATATAGAAGAGGTAGGTATGGGTATGGAAGACGTAGATGTACAGATATACAGAAGATGTAGTTACAGATCAAGAAGATGTCGATGGCGTATGCAAGATGTCGATGGGGGTATTCAAGATGTCCATCTGCATATGCAAGATGTCGATGGACGTGTGGAAGATGCCGATACGGGTATGCAAGATGTCCATCTGAGTGTGCAAGATGCCGATGCGTGTGTGCAAGATGCGGATGCGCTTGTACAAGATGTCCATCGGCGTGTACAAGATGTCCATCGGCGTGTGCAAGATGTCCATCGGCGTGTGCAAGATGTCCATCGGCGTGTGCAAGATGTCCATCGGCGTGTGCAAGATGTCCATCGGCGTGTGCAAGATGCCGATGCGCGTGTGCAAGATGTCAATGCATGTGTGCAAGATGTTGCTCTGGGTGTGCAAGATGTCCATCAGCGTGTGCAAGATGCCGACGCGTGTGTGGAAGATATTGCTCTGGGTGTTCAAGATGCCGATGCGTGTGTGCAAGATGTTGCTCTGGGTGTGCAAGATGTCCATCGGCGTGTGCAAGATGCCGATGCGCGTGTGAAAGATGTTGCTCTTGATGTGGAAGATGCCAACAGGCGTTTGCAAGATGCTGATTGTGTGTGTAAGATGTTGCCCTGGAAGTGCAAGATGCCGATGCGTGTGTGCAAGATGTTGCTCTGGAAGTGCAAGATGCCGATGGGTGTGTGCAAGATGCGGATGCGCGTGTGCAAGATGCCGATGGGTGTGTGCAAAGTGTCCATCGATGTGTGCAAGATGCCAATGCGCATGTGCAAGATGTAGATATAGAAGATATTGTTGCAGGTATAGAAGATGTAGATATGGAAACCTAGATACCGATATAGAAGACCTAGATACTGGTATAGAAGACCTAGATATACATGTAAATGTAGAAGGTGTAGATAAAAAGACCCCTTCACAGGAGATAAAACAGGGTATAAGTGAATCTAGTAATAACTCTCACAACCCTACAGACTTGAGCCTTGGTGTTTAACGTGGGCCCAAACTGCATTAATTTTTTAGTGCAGATGCACCCTTTGACTCCCAAGGATTGAAACAGAATAATTAGGGGTCTCTCGCTATGGAAGTATCCTTGCCGTCGCAATGGGGTGCCTTTGCTTTCCTTTGGTGTCAGTGTGATGCATTGCGATCCCTTGCCGCCTCCCTTACCCCGCCTTCTCTTCCCTTCCCAGAATGCCTTTGTGGGCCTCACCAACCTGGGCGCCACCTGCTACGTCAATACCTTCCTCCAGATGTGGTTCCTGAACCTGGAGCTGCGGCAGGCACTCTACCTTTGCCCCAGCCCCCGCCCCAGCGGACCCACAGCCGCAGAGGGGCCCTCCGTCGGCACAGGTTGGTCCGGAGTGGGAGGGCCATCTGCCGGGAGGGGTCGGAGGGTGCTTTCTTTGTGGCAGAATGGGGGTGGTCGGGATGGCCCTCTTTGGGTTCCCTTGCAACTCTTTATCATTCTATTATTATACTGAAGCGGGGGCTGTCTGGCCATTTGTTGGGAGGGCTTTGATTGTGTCTTTCTTTGTGATAAAAGGGGCTTGGGCTGGATGGCATTGGGGTCCCAACACTAAGATATAATAATAATAATAATAATAATAATAATAATAATAATAATTATTATTATTATTATTATTATTATTATGAAGCAGGGGCTGTCTGGCCATCTGTTGGGGGGCTTTGATGGTGTCTTTGTGGCAGAAGGGGCTTTGAGGGTCCTTTCCAACTCTAGCATTCTATTATTATTAAGCAGGGCCTGGCTGGCCATCTTTTGGGAGGGCTTTGGTGGTGTTTTTTCTTGTGGCAGAAGGGGCTTGGACTGGATGGCCTTTGGGGGTCCCTTCCAACTTTGCCATTCTATTATTATTGTTATGAAGCAGGGGCTGGAGGGCCATCTGTTGGGAGGGCTTTGATTGTGTATTTCTTTGTGGCAGAAGGGGCTTGGCCTGTATGACCTTTGGGGGTCCCTTCCAACTCTACCATTCTGTTATTATTATGAAGCAGGAGCTGGGTGGCCATCTGTTAGAAGGGCTTTGGTTGTGTCTTCCTGTCTGGTGGAAAAGAGTTGGACTAGATGCCCTTTAGGGTCCCTTCAAACTCTAGGATATTATTATTATTATATTTTTATTACTATTCTATTATATTGAAGCTTCAATGGCCATCTGTTGGGAGAGTTCGGAAGGTGCCCTCCTGTTTGGCATATAAGGCTTGGATGGCTGTTTTTGGGGCCCCTTCCAACTCTGGGATATTATTATTATATTAAAATTATATTAAACTCCCACAGCTGCAGAAGGGCCCTCCGTCAGTGCAGGTTGGTCCGGAGTGGGTGGGCCATCTGCTGGGAGCGGTCGGAGGGTGCTTTCTTCATGACAGAATGTGGGTGGTCTGGATGGCCCTCTTTGGATTCCCTTGCAACTCTATCATTCTATCCTGAAGCAGGGGCTCTCTGGCCATCTTTTGGGAGGGCTTTGGTGGTGTCTTGCTTTGTGGCAGAAGGGACTTGGACTAGATGGCCTTTGGGTGGGACCCTTCCAACTCTTAACATTCTGTTATTATTATGAAGCAGGGGCTGGAGGGCCATCTGTTGGGAGGGCTTTGATTGTGTCTCAGGCTTCTGCTTGGCCTCCTTGCAGATTACGAGCCGCAGAGCATCTGTGAGCACCTGCAGTACTTGTTTGCCTTGCTGCAGAGCAGTCGGCGGCGGTACATCGACCCCTCGGGCTTCGTGAAAGCCCTGGGCTTGGACACAGGTCAGCAGCAGGTAACGTTTCGGGAAGGGCACGCCATCAATACATTATTATTACTATTACTGTGATGCTTTCTCTGAGTTTCAGGCTTAAGAAACCACTAGGCATGTGCAAAAAAAATCATGAAGAATCGGAAGCAACTGAACGAATAAACAAGAACAAATTTAAGCTCAACCACGAAGCCATGAGATCATGCCAAACGCACCTAGGCTTCAAGGATTTCTCACGGATTCCCTCAGAATGTCTCATTAGTCTATTCTTCACTCCCTCCATTCTCAAATCTAATCTGGCTTCTCGGAAAAACATCAGCTGAAGATTAATTTAAGCCTGACCAAAAAGCCATGAGATCATGCCGAACGCACCTGGGTTTCAAGGATTTCTCATGGATTCTCTCAGAATATCTCATTATCTTCTGCCTATATCATCAGTTGGGAGGCCCCAACTGCTGCTCTGGCCAGAGTGAAGACAGAGGGGAGCAGAAGACATTTCCATCTTGTCTTTACTAATAATATATATTGTATATACATATAATATTTATTATATTATAATGTAATACAGTATAATACTACTAGTAATAAATTATTATAATTATATATTTTATATTACATGTAATATTACTAATAATATTACAATATAATGGTATAGTAATATATAATACTGATATTGTACTATACCAATAATATATTGTATGAAAATATATCTTGTAAGCCGCTCTGAGTCCCCTTCGGGGTGAGAAGGGCGGCAAATAAATGCCATAAATAAATTAATAATAATAAATTAGTCTGTTCTTCATTCCCTCCATTCTCAAACCTAATCTGGCTTCTTGGGAAAACCCCTCATCAGTTGAAGACCGAAAAACCATGAGATCATGTCGAACGCACCTGGGCTTCAAGGACTTCTCACGGATTCTCTCAGAATGTCTCATTAGTCTATTCTTCACTCGCTCCATTCTCAAACCAAATCTGGCTTCTCGGGAAAACTCATCAGCTGAAGATTAATTTAAGTCCAACCAGAAAGTCATGAGATCATGTCGAACGCACCTGAACTTCAAGGATTTCTCACAGAATCTCTCAGAATGTCTCATTAGTCTATTCTTCGCTCCCTCCGTTCTCGAATCTAATTTGGTTTCTCGGGAAAACTCATCAGCTGAAAATTAATTTAAACCTGACCAAAAAGCCATGAGATCATGCCGATCGCACCTGGGCTTCATGGATTTCTCACAGATTTTCTCAGAATGTCTCATTAGTCTATTCTTCACTCCCTCCGTTCTCAAATCTAATCTGGCTTCTCGGGAAAACTCATCAGCTGAAGATTAATTTAAGCTCAACCAAAAAACTATGAGATCATGTCGAACGCACCTGGACTTCAAGGATTTCTCACAGAATCTCTCAGAATGTCTCATTAGTCTATTCTTCGCTCCCTCCGTTCTCGAATCTAATCTGGCTTCTCGGGAAAACTCCTCATCAGCTGAAAATTAATTTAAGCCTGACCAAAAAGCCATGAGATCATGCCGAACGCACCTGGGCTTCATGGATTTCTCACGGATTTTCTCAGAATGTCTCATTAGTCTATTCACTCCCTCCGTTCTCAAACCTAATCTGGCTTCTCGGGGAAACTCCTCATCACCTGCAGATTAATTTAAACCTGACCAAAAATCCATGAGATCATGCCGAACACACATGGGTTTCAAGGATTTCTCATGGATTCTCTCAGAATATCTCATTATCTTCTGCCTATATCATCAGTTGGGAGGCCCCAACTGCTGCTCTGGCCAGAGTGAAGACAGAGGGGAGCAGAAGACATTTCCATCTTGTCTTTACTAATAGGTAAAGGTTAGGTTACTAACGGGAGCGGCACTCAGGGAGCATACCACTCCTCTGCTGAGCCAGCTCCACTGGCTGCCAATCCGCTACCGGGCACAATTCAAGGTGCTGGCTTTGGCCTATAAAGCCCTAAACGGTTCTGGCCCTGCTTACCTCTCCGAACGCATCTCCACCTATGAACCGACGAGGACGTTAAGATCGTCCGGGGAGGCCCTGCTCTCGGTCCCGCCTGCGTCGCAGGCGCGGCTGGCAGGAACGAGAGACAGGGCCTTCTCGGTAGTGGCCCCTCGGCTATGGAATGCCCTACCTGTAGACATCAGGCAGGCCCCTTCGTTGCTGGAGTTCCGGAGGAAGGTCAAGACGTGGCTCTATGAACAGGCGTTCGGTCAACAAGGCAACTGAACTCATGAAGACGGTATAAATGAACAAAGGAACGGTAGAAGGATTATGAGAACGGAATCTGATTTTTACTGAGGCGTTGATGACTATGTTGTGTTGTCTTGTATTGTCTGTCGTGTATGCTGTGTTTTAACTAATTGTTATTGTAATAAATTGCATTGTAAACCGCATTGAGTCGCCGAATTAGGCTGAAAAATGCGGTATAAAAATAAAGCAAATAAATAAATAAATAAATAAATAATTAGTCTGTTCTTCACTCCCTCCGTTCTCAAACCTAATCTGGCTTCTCGGGGAAACTCCTCATCAGCTGAAGTTTAATTTAAGCCCAACCAAAAATCCATGAGATCATGCTGAATGCACTTGGGCTTCAAGGATTTCTCACGGATTCTCTCAGAACATCTAATTAGTCTATTCTTCACTCCCTCCGTTCTCAAACCGAATCTGGCTTCTCGGGAAAACTCCTCATCAGTTGAAGATTAATTTAAGCCCAACCAAAAAGCCATGAGATTATGTCGAACGCACCTGGGCTTCTCTCAGAAAGTCTCATTAGTCTATTCTTCACTCCCTCCATTCTCAAACCTAATCTGGCTTCTCGGGAAAACTCCTCATTGTTTCACAGCCGAAACAGCCGAAGACCCTTTTTGAAATCGGATCCATGCACAAGCCTAATTGCTATCACTGCTGTTATAGATCCAAATACATATTACACAAGGCATGGGCAAACTGGCTGTTAGGAATTGTGGGAGTTGAAGTCCAAAACGCCTGGAGGGCCGAAGTTTGCCCATGCCTGCATTACACTGTCCCGATTCCTTCCTTATTGCCATAGGACGCGCAGGAGTTTTCCAAGCTGTTCATGTCGCTCTTAGAAGACACGCTTTCCTCCCAAAAGAACCCAGAAGTTCGGGACATTGTCCAGAAGCAGTTTTGCGGAGAATACGCCTACGTCACTGTGTAAGTCCGGCACTTGCAGAAATCCTTCTCCTACCCTTCCTTCCCAAGGTCTGCCTGCATTTGCTTTAAGTCGTTGCGCTTCCCCTTTCAGTTGCAACCAGTGCGGCCGGGAGTCCAAGCTGATCTCGAAATTTTACGAGCTTGAATTGAACATCCAGGGCCACAAACAACTCTCGGACTGCATCACCGAGTTCCTAAAGGTAACTACAACTCTCTTTTGGCGAAGGAGTTGAGGCTGGAATCCCTTGAAGAGCCCTTTCGGGAAGCCATTTGTATTTTAGGACAATGTTTGTTTGATTATATTGTACCTCACCTTGAGCCATGAGAAGAGCCGGGTAATAATAATGCAAAAGGAGGAAATAGTATATATTGTATATACTCGTGTATAAGCCTAGTTTGTCAGCCCCTTTTTTAGGCTGAAAAAGTTCCCCTCGTCTTATTTATTACTGTTACATTTATTATCGTACTCTGTTATTTTTATTACATTTATTATTTTACTCTATTATTGTTATTAGTACATTTATTTTATTTTTATTATTTTTATTTATTTTATTTTATTGATATTATTGTTATTATTACATTTATTATTTATTTATTATTATTTATTATTTTACTCTGTAATTACTATAATTTTTATTACTTTTATTATTCTACTCTATTCTTGTTATTAGTACATTTATTTATTTATTTATATTATTTTTATTTATTTATTTTATTGATATTATTGTTATTACATTTATTATTTCGGGTTGAAAAAGCCCGCCTCGGTTATACTCGAGTCAAGGTTACTTATTACTTTACTCTGTTATTAGTATAATTTTTATTACATTTATTATTCTACTCTATTATTGTTATTAGTACATTTATTTTATATTTATTAGTTTTATATATTTTATTTTATTTATTTATTTATTATTATTATTACATTTATTATTTATACTGGAAAAGCCCCCCCCCCCAGCTTATACTTGAGTGAAGGTTATTCTTATTTTATTCTGTAATTAGTATAATTTTTATTACATTTATTATTGTACTCTATTATTGTTATCAATGCATTTATTTTATATTTTTAATTTATTTAATTTATTTTATTATTTTTATTTATTTATTTTATGTTATTGTTGTTATTGCATTTATTATTTTGGGCTGAAAAAGCCCCCTTTGCCTTTTACTTGAGTCCAGGTTATTTATTATTTTACTCTTGTTATTAGTATAATTTTGATTACATGTATTATTTTGCTCTATTATTGTTATTAGTACATTTATTTTATTTTTATTATTTATATTATTTATATTATTTTTATTGATATTATTATTATTACATTTATTATTTAGGCTGAAAAAGCCCACCTTGGCTTATACGCGAGTCAAAGTTATTTATTATTTTACTCTTGTTATTAGTATAATTTTGATTACATTTATTATTCTACTCTATTATTGTTATTAATACTTTTATTTTATTTTTACTGTTTTTTTAATTTATATTATATATTTTTTATTGATATTATTATTACATTTATTAATTTGGGCTGAAAAAGCCCATCTCGGCTTATACTCGAGTCAAGGTTGTTTATTATTTTACTCTGTTATTAGTATAATTTTATTACATTTATTATTTGACTCTATTATTGTTATTAATACTTTTATTTCTACTATTTTTATTTATTTATTTTTATTATTTTTATTTATTTATTTTATTGATATTATTATTATTACATTTATTATTTTGGTCTGAAAAAGCCCCCCTCGGCTTATACTCAAGGTTGTTTATTATTTTACTCTGTTATTAGTATAATTTTTATTACATTTATTATTTTACTCTATTTATTATTATTATTGCATTTAATATTTTAATCTATTTATTATTGGTTTTATTACATGTATTATTTTACTCTATTATTTTTATTACATTTATTATTTTGCTCTATTATTTTTATTACATTTATTATTTTACTCTTATTATTTTTATTATATTTATTATTTTGCTCTATTATTATTATTATTGCATTTAATATTTTTAATCTATTTATTATTGGTTTTATTACATGTATTATTTTACTCTATTACTGTTATTACATTTATTATTTTGCTCTATTTTTATTAAATTTATTATTTTACTCTATTTTTATTACATTTATTAATGTATTACTGTTATTAAATTTATTATTTTACTCTTATTTTTATTAAATTTATTATTTTACTCTATTGTTTTTATTACATTTATTAATGTATTACTGTTATTAAATTTATTATTTTAATGTATTGTTACTACATTTATTATTTTGCTCTATTATTACTGTTATTAAATTTCCATTATTTGCTCTATTATTCTTACTTTTATTACATTGATTATTTTACCCTCTTTATTATTATCGGAAGGATACGTAAGCACATTTGAAGGTTGGAATAAATAATGGTTTAATCAGAGTTTGGCAGTCTGATCTTACGTAAATACTGATGATAACCAGTAGCAGCTGCATTTCTCACCCTTGGCTTAGAACCCTCTTCTCTTCCTCTTGGACAGGAAGAGAAGCTGGAAGGGGACAACCGCTACTTCTGCGAGACCTGCCAGAGCAAACAGAACGCCACGCGCCGCATCCGGCTGCTCAGCCTGCCTTGCACCCTCAACCTCCAGCTCATGCGCTTCGTCTTTGACAGGCAAGTCCTGCCTTATGATATGGACTGACTGGGATGGGGGGGACGGCGGGACGTGCGGTATGACTGCGGTCACAGACCAGGAGGGTCAAACACTGTAGCCAGAAATTCAAAACATTCAAAGCGGAAAGTCCAGGATATGCAGCCAACCTAATTGGCTTCATCTACAGCAGTGGTTCCCAACCTGTGGGTCTCTCCCCAGGTGTTCTGGCCTACAACTCCCAGAATTCCCAGCCAGTTTTACCAGCTGTTAGGATTTCTCAGAGGCCAAAACATCTGGAGACCCACAGGTCGACAGGCTTTCCCTGAGTTAGAAACATCCACTATATTATGTTATATTATATTACTTTATTATAATATTATAATACTATATTATAATATTCAAAGATTACTGCAGAAGCAGACTGTAGCCAGGAAATCAGAAGACGCTTCCTTCTTGGGAGGAGAGCAATGTCCAGTCTCGATAAAATAGTAAAGAGTAGAGACATCAGACTGGCAACAAAGATCCGCCTAGTCAAAGCCATGGTATTCCCTGTAGTCACCTACGGATGTGAGAGCTGGACCTTAGGGAAGGCTGAGCGAAGGAAGATCGATGCTTTTGAGCTGTGGTGTTGGAGGAAAGTTCTGAGAGTGCCTTGGACTGCGAGAAGATCCAACCAGTCCATCCTCCAGGAAAGAAAGCCCGACTGCTCCTTGGAGGGAAGGATACTAGAGACAAAGTTGAAGTACTTTGGCCACATCATGAGGAGACAGAAAGCCTAGAGAAGACAATTATGCTGGGGAAAGTGGAAGGCAAAAGGAAGAGGGGCCGACCAAGGGCAAGATGGATGGATGGCATCCTTGAAGTGACTGGACTGACCTTGAAGGAGCTGGGGGTGGTGACGGCCGACAGGGAGCTCTGGCGTGGGCTGGTCCATAAGGTCACGAAGAGTCGGAGACGACTGAACGAATGAACAACCAACATATTATAATATTAGAGTTAGAAACATCCACTATATCATATTACTATGTTATATTATAATATTATAATATTCTAGTTTTAGAATTAGAAACATCCACTATATCATATTATTATGTTATATTATAATATTATAATATTCTAGTTTTGGATTTAGAAACATCCACTATATCATATTATTATGTTATATTATAATATTATAATATTCTAGTTTTAGAATTAGAAACATCCACTATATCATACTGTGATGTTATATTATAATACTGTAATGTTATAATATTTAGTTTTAGAGTTGGAAACATTCACTATATTTTGTTGTTATATTGTTATAATACTATAATATTATAGTATTAGAAACATCCACTATATTATGTTATATTATAATATAGTGTTAGTTAGAAACATCCACTATATCATATTGTGATGTTAGATTATAATACTGTAATATTATAATATTTAGTTTTAGAGTTAGAAACATTCGCTATATTATGTTATATTATAATACTGTAATATTATAATATTTAGTTTTAGAGTTAGAAACATTCGCTATATTATGTTATATTATATTATAATACTGTAATATTATAATATTTAGTTTTAGAGTTAGAAACATTCGCTATATTATGTTATATTATATTATAATACTGTAATATTATAATATTTAGTTTTAGAGTTAGAAACATTCGCTATATTATGTTATATTATATTATAATACTGTAATATTATAATATTTAGTTTTAGAGTTAGAAACATTCGCTATATTATGTTATATTATATTATAATACTGTAATATTATAATATTTAGTTTTAGAGTTAGAAACATTCGCTATATTATGTTATATTATATTATAATACTGTAATATTATAATATTTAGTTTTAGAGTTAGAAACATTCGCTATATTATGTTATATTATATTATAATACTGTAATATTATAATATTTAGTTTTAGAGTTAGAAACATTCGCTATATTATGTTATATTATATTATAATACTGTAATATTATAATATTTAGTTTTAGAGTTAGAAACATCTGCTATATTATGTCATATTATATTATTATAATAGTATAGTGAGTTAGAAACATCCTGTCGCAACCCAGATGCCTTAAAGAGCCAGACCGCTCCGGCGGGAAGGTAACAGTACTCTTATTATCTTATTTCCAGGCAAACAGGCCACAAGAAGAAGCTGAACACTTACATTGAGTTCTCGGAGCTGCTGGACATGGAGCCATTCATGGAGGACAAAGGTGGGCTTCCTTTCTCCTCATAGGAAATCCCACCATTGGGTTGTGTTTGATCGTTGGAACAAGGGAATTTTCCATCCGGGTTAAAACAGGCTGTGGTCAGACCATTCCTGAAAAAAGCCTCCCTCCATGGTCTTGAGCAATTACAGACCAATCTCCAACCTCCCTTTCTTGGGCAAGGTGCTGGAGTGGGTGATTGCCTCTCAGCTCCAGGGTTTCCTGGATGACATCAATTACCTGGACCAGTCACAGTCTGGTTTCAGGCCTGGTCACGGCACCGAGACGGCTTTGGTCGCCTTGGTGGATGACCTCCGCAGGGAGCTGGACAGGGGGAGTGTGACCCTTCTGGTTCACTTGGATATCTCAGCAGCTTTCGATACCATCAATCATGGTATCCTTCTGGGATGACTCTCCAGGATGGGCCTTGGGGCCACGGTTCTATCGTGGCTCCGTTCTTTCCTGGAGGGTCGATCCCAGATGGTGAAGCTGGGAGACGCCTGCTCGAACTCCTGGCCTTTGACTTGTGGGGTCCTGCAAGGTTCCATTCTGTCCTCCATGCTTTTCAACATCTACATGAAACCGCTGGGAGAGGTCATCAAGAGTTTTGCAGTTGGGTGCCACCTCTACGCAGATGACACACAACTCTACTACTCTTTTCCACCGAACTCCAAGGAAGCCCCTCAGGTGCTGGACGAGTGCCTGGCTGCTGTGTCTATCTGGATGAGGAGGAACAAGCTGAGGATCAATCCCGACAAGACAGAGGTCCTTCTGGTCAATCATAAGCCGGATCGGGGTATAGGGTGGCAACCTGGGCTGGATAGGGTTACACTCCCCCTGAAGTCACAGGTCCGCAGTTTGGGAGTCCTCTTGGATTCATCACTTATGCTTGAAGCTCAGGCGGCGGCAGTGGACGAGAGGGCTTTCGCACAATTCACCTCATGAAGGCGGATCTGGCTAGGGTGGTCCATGCCTTGGTCACCTCCAGATTGGACTACTGTAATGCACTCTACGTAGGGCTGCCCTTGAAAACAGCCTGGAAATTTCAGTTGGTTCAGGCGGCCAGGCTACTAACCAGTGCTTCTTGCAGGGAGCGGTCAACCCTCCTGTTTAAGGAGCTTCACTGGCTGCCGTCCATTTTCCGGTCCCAATTCAAGGTGCAGGTTCTTACCTACAAAGCCCTGAATGGTTTGGGGCCCGCCTACCTTTGTGACCGTATTTCTGTGTACGAACCCACACAATCCCTTTGATCATCTGGAGAGGCCCTGCTCACGCTCACACCTCCTTCGCAGGTGGGGACGAGGGAGAGGGCCTTCTCGGTGGTGGCCCCCCAACTCTGGAACTCACTTCCCAGGCACATTATACATGCCCCAACGTTGGCAGTCTTTAGGAGGAGCCTGAAAACGTGGTTGTTCCAGTGTGCCTTCCCAGAATAGGAGAACTCTCAGCAATATGCTATCGTAATGCACTTTAACAGTGACTTAGGATGGATTGTTGTTCCCTCGTTTCTCTTTGAAAAATCCTATCCAGTTATATTTTTTACCTGTTCATGTCAGCATATTTTCAATTTTAATTTATTACATTTGGCCCAGCCATTTTAAAACTGTTTATATGTCACTATTGATAGTTGTTTTGTTATGTGATTTATATGATTTGTGTTTTATTGATTGTTTATCAATGTGGCGTTATTGATGTTGTTTGATGTATTGTGGGCTTGGCCTCATGTAAGCCACACCGAGTCCCATGGGGAGATGGTAGCAGGGTACAAATAAAGTTTTATTATTTTATTATTTTTATTATTATCGAAAAGCGTGGGGGATTCATCAGAAAGATTTCGATGTAGAATTGAGCAAAACGGGCACCACTTGGTGGTGTCGGCCATGACGGCGCCCCCGTTTTAGCGGTTCCTCGTCCGCCTTTCCAGGCCACGGCTTCGCCTACGAGCTGAGCGCCATCCTGATCCACCGCGGGGTGAGTGCCTACTCCGGCCACTACATTGCCCACGTCAAGGACCCCCAGACGGCGGAGTGGTACCGCTTCAACGACGAGGAGATCGAGAAGATGGAGGGGAAGAAGCTCCAGCTGGGAGCCGAGGAAGACCTGGGTAAGAGAGGGAAGGGACAACAATAATAATCCTGGGAAAGGAGCAAATAATCATAATAGTAATGGGAAAGGAGATAATAATAATGAAAATAATAATACAAGCTTTGGGGAAGGGTTGGATGTGGTTGTAAAGCCCGTTTTCAGCCTGTGTTGCTTCCTCCTCCTCCTGCAGAGCCTTCCAAGTCGCAAGCCCGGAAGCCCAAGGGTGGGAAGGGGGTCTACCGCTCCCGGAACGCCTATATGCTGGTCTACAGGCTGCAGTCGCGGGCCAAGACCCTGACCACGGACATCCCAGGTGAGATGGGTCTGGGTCTCCGTGTCTGCCATGTCGTTGTCCCTCGTGTATATGTCTGTATAAGTATGATACTTACATGCAGTTAACTTTCATACCATCCCCAAGCACCATCAATCTTTCTTCCTGCTCATAGTGGACTACGTATGCCAAGGAGGTGGGTTCTAGTGTTCCTTACGAACCTCCAAGGGAGACGTTCACCACTTCCTGTCTATAGTGGACTAGGTATGCCAAGCAGGTGGGTTCTAGAGTTCCTTCTTGAGCCTCTGAGGGAAACGTTCACTTCCTGCCTGTAGTGAACTAGGTATGCCAAACAGTTGAGTTCTAGATTCCCTTGTTGATCCTCCATGGGAAACGTTCACTACTTTTTGCCTATAGTGAACTAAGTATGCCAAGGAGGTGGGTTCTTGAGTCTCTTATGACCCTCCAAGGGAAACGTTAACTACTTTTTGCCTGTAGTGGACTAGGTATGCTAAACAGTTGAGTTCTAGAGTCCCTTCTTGAGCCTCCATGAGAAACGTTCACCACTTCCCATCTTCATGGGAAGCCTTCACCACTTCCTGCCTATAGTGAACTAGGTATGCCAAGAAAGTGGTTTCTAGATTCCCTTGTTGAGCCTCCATGGGAAACTTTCACTACTTTTTGCCTATAATGAACTAGGTATGCCAAGGAGGTGGGTTCTGGGGTTTCTTGTTGAGCCTCCAAAGGAAATGTTTACTACTTCCTGCCTTTAATGGACTAGGTCTGCCAAGGAGGTGGGTTCTAGAGTCCCTCCTTGAGTCTCCGTGGGAAATGTTCACTTCCTGCCTGCAGTGGACTAGGTATGCCAAGCAGTTGAGTTCTAGAGTCCCTTGTTGAGCCTTCATGGGAAACGTTCACTACTTTTTGCCTATAGTGAACTAGATATGCTAAGCAGTTGGGTTCTGGAGTCCTTTATGAGCCTCCAAGAGAAACGTTCACCACTTCCTGCCTATAATGGACTAGGTCTGCCAAGGAGGTGGGTTCTAGAGTCCCCTATGAGCTTCCATGAGGAATGTTCACCACTTTCCATCTTCATGGGAAACTTTCACTACTTTTTGCCTATAATGAACTAGGTATGCCAAGGAGGTGGGTTCTAGAGTCCCTTATGAGCCTCCATGAGAAACGTTCACCACTTTCCATCTTCATGGGAAACCTTCACCACTTCCTGCCTATAGTGAACTAGGTATGCCAAATAGGTGGGTTCTAGAGTCCCTTGTTGAGCCTCTATGGGAAACCTTTACCACTTCCTGCCTATAGTGAACTAGGTATGCCAAATAGGTGGGTTCTAGAGTTCCTTGTTGAGCCTCCATGGGAAACCTTCACCATTTCCTGCCTATAATGGACTAGGTATGCCAAGAAGGTGGGTTCTAGAGTCCTTTGTTGAGCCTCCATGGGAAACCTTCACCACTTCCTGCCTATAATGGACTAGCTCTGCCAAGGAGGTGGGTTCTAGAGTCCCTTATGAGCTTCCATGAGGAACGTTCACCACTTTCCATCTTCATGGGAAACTTTCACTACTTTTTGCCTATAATGAACTAGGTATGCCAAAGAGGTGGGTTCTAGAGTCCCTTATGAGCCTCCATGGGAAACCTTCACTTCCTGCCTATAATGGACTAGGTATGCCAAATCGGTGGGTTCTAGAGTCTCTTGTGAGCCTCCAAGGAAAACGTTCACCACTTTCCATCTTCATGGGAAACCTTCACCACTTCCTGCCTATAGTGAACTAGGTATGCCAAATATGTGGGTTCTAGAGTCCCTTGTTGAGCCTCCATGGGAAACCTTCACTTCCTGCCTATAATGGACTAGGTATGTCAAATAGGTGGGTTCTAGAGTCCCTTGTTGAGCTTCCATGGGAAACCTTCACTTCCTGCCTATAATGGACTAGGTATGCCAAGAAGGTGGGTTCTAGAGTCCCTTGTTGAGCCTCCATGGGAAACCTTCACCACTTCCTTTCTATAATGGACAAGGTATGTCAAGCAAGTGGGCTCTAGAGTCCCTTGTGAGCTTCCATGGGACACGTTCACCACTTCCACGTTCATTTGTAAGTCAGTTGTTTGTAACTCGGGGACGGCCTGTGTCCCATTCCCCGCTCCTTGTCCCCCCCCCCCCCCCCCGTCCTCCTCAACATGCCTCTTCCCCTTCCAGCTTTCCTGAAAGACCTGGTGGAGCGGGACAACAGCAAGTTCGAGGAGTGGTGCACGGAGATGGCGGAGATGCGCCAGCAGAGCGTGGCCCGGGGCAAGGTCAAGCACGAGGAGGTGAAGGAGCTCTACGAGAAGTTGCCCGCTAAGGCTGGTCTGTAAGCTCTTCCCTTTGTACTCTTCTTGGGCCGGGAGGGGAGAGGGTGCAGTGGGAGGGGGGGCTGTTTGCGATGGAGCCAGGAGGAAGGAGGAGGCGTTGAGATCCCTCAGCTGCTCCAAGAGAGTAGTCCTCATTGAGTTCTAGTCATTCAATGTATATCCCAATGTATTTCCTCTCGCCAAGGCTTTCTAGTTTAGGAATGTACAGACATACATATATATATAGCAGGGGAGAGGAATATATATATATATGTATGTATGTATGTATGTATGGCTGGAGTTACACTTAAAAATGCACATGTTCCAACTTACAAACAAATTCAACTTAAGAGCAAACCTACAGAATCTATCTTGTTCGTAACTTGGGGACTGCCTGTACATGGTATTGTTATTGTTGTTAATCCAGAATGTAATATTTATTATTATTATTATTATTATTATTATTATTATTAAACACTCGGGAATGGGAGAGAAAAGTCAGGTCCAGGAAGCAATGTGTTGTGTTGTTGTTCATCTTATTGTTACTTCAGGATGTACTACATTACATAGTGGTTATTTATGTTGTTGTTGTTACGAGACAATTGGGGAATGAGAGAGACCGGTCTAGGAGGCAATGCATTGCGTTATTATTATCATCGTTATTATTATCATCATCATGATTCCATACATAGACACTATATTATTATATGGAATATAACATGCATTATTATTATTATTATTATCGTCATGATTCCATACATAGACACTATATTATACTATGGAATATAATATGCATTATTATTATTATCATTATTATCATCACCATCATCATGATTCCATACATAGACACTATATTATTATATGGAATATAATATGCATTATTATTATTATTGTTATTATTATTATTATTATTATTATTATTATCATGATTCCATACATAGACACTATATTATTATATGGAATATAATATGCATTATTATTATTATTATTATCATCATCATTATTCCA